TATCAGCCACTGTTTTCCAAATGGTAAAGAAAAACCTATAACTCGCGCATCGGGATCTATTAATCCAACAGAATGCAGGTGGGGTTAAATGGAAAAGGAAGGATTGGCTTTGATTTTCACCATCAGGAAATTTCATAAAATGATTTATAGGCGTCTATTTAAATTGTTCACTGATCACAAACCCTTTTTTTCTATTTTTGTGTCAAAGTCTGTCATCCCAGTGTGTATCGACAATCGTTTGCAACGTTGGGTAATCATATTACTTGTTTATGGTCTTAAAATGAAGTATAAATGCATGACAAGTTCTGGTCAAGCCGATGCTTTCTCAGGAATAAATGCAAAACCAAAGTTTGCAAACGAAAATGTTAGCAGAATGTCGAAAATATTATCATCCAAAGAGAGAAAGTACTGAGCAGTATATTATAAATAATTATGGTTCATGTCACTATGCTATAGAATGACTGACAATTATTTCCTTATTGATATATAAATCAGGTTAAAAGTATTTCATAGCTTTAAACTTACTGAATTTCAGAAAACCAGAACTCAGCTGATTATTAATCATCTTGTAAGATTTCATGGTATCTATATCAAAGAGACGTTTACAGTTAGTGTAGTGAACAGAACACGGGTGGGGACAACCGAATGTATTGAACACAAAATTACAGGACTTGTTAATAAAATCTAACAATCATGAAGTAAATGCTTAATTTGCAAAATGTCCATCGATTGTCTCAAAATAACTCGGACTTCATTGTTCCTGCATTTTCATACAAATTGCATTCTGTTCCCTTTCTTTACTGTTCGATCCTCTTGTCTCTCTGCTGCCAGACCTTCTGTTCACGACTAACACCATTTACTACTTATGTCAATATAAGTAGCAAACATCACATTAGCACCATTGAACTTCATTGATTCCCCTGAGCTATGACTTTCAATAACATGTTTTTCCCCATAGATTACTTTGATTCACTATACAATTACACTATTTTTAAACATCTAATGAATATTAAACGATCTGATGAGTGGATTATTTGTAAATCTATAAAATGTATTAATTGAAAATGTGATTTATTACATAATTATTTCAGGGAAGAGAAAGACTATTTTATGTAAGCAAACTTTATTCCTTATTTTATAATATTTTTCAAATTATTTTTATTCTATTTTATATATTTGCTTTTATCCAACGTAAAAATACTTACATTATTTTGAGTTCATTTTAATCTAAGCAAAAGAGATTGATAATGAAAGATAATTAATTTATACTACTTATATATTACATGTTAACATATGGAAATTTTCAAATTAAAATGTCTTTAATCAATCATAATTAGATGAATATTATTCAAACAATGATTTAATAAATTAATAATAATTTCAATAGTTGAGATCATGAGTCAATTGAAGCTAGACTACCATGGAAAACCTGTAAGTATTGGACGGCCGTTTCGTCCTAGTATGGGACTCCTCAGTAGTGCAATGATAATTTAGGGATCAGTTTTAAGGATAAATTTTACAAATAAAAATATTATTTACAAAATTTACTTTGTAACATTATGTAATCAATATTGATATTAAACTTTTCAGTTATTGATAATAATTGAAAGTATATTACAACAAAAATTGATATTTATTCAATGAATTCACTATACACATACTTCTTATATTCACATTAAAATTGACCATATCTAAACCTACATAAAATTTAGTGTACGAACTATACAAGATTTAGTAATCTGTAATTATGTTGTGACGTCAGTGTACACTGAAAATAATTGATTTGTGTGTGTTTTTATTATATAACATTGTTTTTTTTAATGTTCAGTGGTCATATATATGTATGTATAAATAGTACGTGTCATGCACAGTATAACCCATATTCACTTTTTGAATCTGCCGCCTTTTTTGTGCTCAAAAATGACCATATATACAAAGGTATTAGAGAGATGTAAATAAAAAGTGAAGTTTTGCATTCTTTAAAGTATAATCACTGCAATATAATAATTATGATAATTTTTTCTGCAGACAGTTAAGAAAACTTTGTTTAATGACTGAATTTGATTGGTATTCCTTAATAAAAACAATATGATCAATATCATAGTTGTAGTGGGCTAATAATTTAGATCATAAAGAAATGTATATTACCATAATAAATAACTTACTAACCAGATCAGATTTTAGTTTATAAATTTCACTTCAGTTTATTTTGAACATATAATAGAAATTAAAAATCTAATGTCCGTGTTTTCTTTAGGTAATTTGAAGATTCACTACAAAAAGGAAGAAATTTAGTATTTATTAGAATAAAAAGCGTAATTACAGAAATAAAATAGTAATTAGTCGGTGGTTCAATGGTAGGATACTCACCTGAAGCGCGGGTGTTTTGGGTTCGATCCCCGGCCGATGTACACTTGGTTTGCCCCCAATGCCCTGGTGTGGTCCAGGGTAGGGAGAGTTAGGTCTCTCTCACATGACTACATATACACAGCCACTGTTAGCGAAGTCCTACTCCCTGCCTTCTAGCGGCACAGGGCATTGTTTATGAAAATGAGGGGACGAAAAGTGAATGTCCAGCGCTTTAATCAGGTTGATGTATATGAAGGATCCACCTAGGGGAGTTGGGAAATCCTGATCCCAAACCAATGATTCACATGGGCTCCAGGACCCTGAGGGAACAAATGGTGTATGAACCAATTATTGGTCACCTGCTATCATGTGACTGAATCTCCTGACGTTGCCCCACTGCCTTGTGAATCAAACCTTTAGGTCGAAGGCTCCGGGTGCGGCACACTAAGAAAAAACACCAGTTTCGGTTTGGGCACCTGGGCAGTATCACAACCCACACACACGCTAAATAAATAATAACACATTTATTTACTTTAAATCAATAAAGTGATGGATTGATTTCAACATAAAATGACAACTGCAGATATCTTTCAGAAGAAATCAAAATAAGATCAAAATATTTCAATCTACAAAAAGAATATTCTTTATGAATTAACTAGATTGAATCATTATAAAACAATATAACATTGGAGTGATATCTTTTAATGCTATTATCAATTGCTACTTTAATGAAGGTAATAAACTGCACAAGGGATTGGACATTTAACTTCCAGTCCTCATAGTAAGTACATTATTTTCAAAATCGATAAATTGTATAAATAATACAAACAGTATATTTATTTGTTCAGGAATATTTCCAAACATCACCCAGAAAATACTTTGAACCAATTTATTCTGAACACAAAATTCATTCAGTAATGAAGTGGAGATTTTTAGCTAATTATTAAAGATTTATTTATTGAATTATATTTTAAAGCTTTTAATGTGGTTATTCTTATACTTTAATTCGATCTCCATGAAAATATCTTTTCATACTTAGTGCATTTAATGGGGCTGAAAACTTCATTAAAACTCTGAAACATTTATAAAGTAACTAAAGTAAATATCAGTATTTAGATCTGTGGAATTTGTTGAATATTATTGAGATTACGGATCAATGATCTCCGTAAATACTGACACTAATAATTATTATATGCTCACTGGTGATTAGCTTCGAGAAAAAAGGTTTAGATGTTCTAGTGAAAAGTCTCGACCGGTGCAGTTCAACCTACTGAAAACAACTGAAGATGGGTACGCAATGTCACGAAGAGAATGAAACTACACACCGTCAGGTAGCAGATTATTGGTCTGAAGGTTAGCTGAGCGGAAAGTTGGATTTACTTAAAATATAGCTGTTGAGATTTTACAAATATAATATTTCCTATTTAATGTTAACTCGGAGCCGAACTACTGTGAAGCTATTCATTCGAATTTAGACCCGAGTTCATATAAATGAAGAAAACAGATTTCTAAGAAATTAATTGGAAGCATTTTTCCCAGAATGAATCATAATCACTTAAAATTTACGCAGAAACGTCAACTTATTAGAATTTTTTGATCTTTCTAACCAAAAAGTATTTAATAATTTTCAAACAACAGTGAGATTATTAAACAAAGACGGATAGTGGCTAGCAGTGGAATCCAGGACGTGTGTTTCGTCCTATTTAAGACCAGTCAGATGGATGTACCTGAGATTCGTTGGTTAACGAATGAGGAATTGTATTTCTAAATTTCGTAAATATATTTGAATTACTTTCAAGTAGCGTAATAAAACTTATTTCAAAGGTAAACTTTTATATACTTTTACTCCAGTTCAGTTAAATTAACTTTTCCAGTATGTGATTCATATGAGAAACAAATACCGGCATGATTACATGTTTGAGATGTTACGTGTTCAACCGACAGATATTTTTTTAAAATTGTTTCAATAGTCATTATCTTTCACAAGTACTAAATAATTAGGGTTTTCTATCAGCTAAGTTGCTACAATTATTTTCCCATATACATATATATATATATATATACAGAGAACTTTTGCATTACAATATATTTATCTCGTTTTTTTAGGAGGATAGATAAAACAGAAAGTGTTCTTACTGTATTATTTTTGTTCGGGTTCTCCAGAATTTAGTATGGAACTCAAATCTAACACTTCTGTGATAGTTCATCAGTACATACAGACATTACTACTTACGTCTGTTACCTCTAGTGGAGGAGCATAAGCTTCCTACAAGTATTCCCCATCCAACTCTGTCCGGGGCAATCTTTTTCATATCTGCTTCTAATTCTCGACACAATGTGTTGTTTAGTCTTCCTCTTTTCCGTTTCTTCTAAGGATTTCAAGCTAGCACTTGCCTCATGATGTATTTTGATGATTTCCACAACGTATGTCCTATCCACTCACACACTCTTTTCCTAATTTCCTCTCCAACTGGAAGCGAGTTTATTCTCTCCCACAGTAGTTTGTTGCTGATGATATCCGATCAACCGACATTCAGTATCGTGCGTAGAGAACTGTTTACGAATATTTATACACTTTTGATGATGTTTGTAGTAACTCTTTAAGTCTCAGCTCCATACAGTAGAATTGTCTTGACGTTCGTATTGAAGAACCCGACTTTGATATTGGCTTGCTGACAGTTATTTTGAGTCCCATATGTTCCTCAATCGTGGGAATGCTGTCATCGCTTTGCCAATCCTTGACTTCACATCTGCATCAGATCCTTCTTGCTCGTCGATGATGCTGTCTAGTTGTGTGGAAGTTTCGACCTCTCCCAAAGCTTCTCTACCAAGAGTGATTGGATTAGTGTTCCCCATGTTGTATTTGAGGATCTTGCTTTTGTCCTTTTGTATTTTGAGGTCTACTGCTGCTACGCTGACTGTCTTCACCCGCATTTGTTCGTGTGTATGGGATAGAACAGCTAGGTCATCTACCAAGTCCAAATCTTCTTGTTGTATGTCAGCTGTCCATTGCATTTCGTGTTTCCCCCTCCGATGTAGAGATCTTCACAATTCGAACAGGCCGCCGTTCACAGTTTAAATCATTATCAGTATGGGGTTGTGGAGATTATTAAGCTTTTGATTGAGATCGTGAACCGAATGATGTTAAACCACCATTGAAAACCTGGATACACTAGACGGTCGTTTCGTCCTATTGTGGGTCTAGAAGTTAAGCGTTCCTGAGAGAGACTGAAGGCCCTGGGTTCAAATCCCACAAGCGGGATCGTGAATGCTGAGTAATCGCACGATAGGAGGAAACGATCGTCCAATGCTTCCAGGTTTTCAATGGTTGTCTATCAACAATCGGTTCGTGATCTCTTTCAAAAACAATTTAGGCCATTGAAGTGAAAAATTTATTCAGATTTTACTCACGATGCTACGTGGACGGAAGATCCTTATCGGAATACCTATCCTGTCGTTAAATCAATCGGCATAGACAATTTAATCGCCTTTTCAAGATGATTTCAAATTTAAATTTATGTACAGTGACATTCTTTCTTAATAATAATTTTTTGCATTCACAAGTCAAGTTATAAATTCTGCGCCTAAATGAGATATGATGTTCTGTAAGTAGTCACTGAATTTTTGTATGTTACCATTAAAAATACACTTCTATTATACAGTTAAATCCACTCAGTCATATCAAACTGGACCTATATCCTGATCTGTCTTATCTACAGCTCATCATCCTTACCTGCTTTCTAGATAAACAGTGACATTTCGTCTGTGCGTTTAGTGTCATGTTTGGCGTATTAGAAAGTATATGAACTAGCATTCTACTTTTTCAAAAATTGTTTTTGATAGTTCAGGATATTGTTTACTCACTAGTCTAAACAAAAACAGACAATGTTAACAGACCAAGTTTTATGTGGACTGCAGAAGTTATTTGTCTTCCGTAATTCAAGTTGTGAAATATGGCGAGAAGCTAACCTAAAAGTTAGACTATCAACTCTTGTATAGGATGTCGAAAAGTCGTTGAAAGAGTTAATATTAACTGTGGAAAATCAACTGAATGTTGTTAGTTTGAGGTGAGATTAGTTTAAAAGAAATACTACAACACAGGTGACTTTACATAAGCAAAGGACCGCTGTGTATTTAAATACAAAAACACCGCCAGAACTCCAGTTATAAACTTGAATAGTGTAAAAATGGGTATCAAATGGGATATTGACGTTACGCTTAAAACTTCCTTCTCCCTAGTGTATTTGAGAGCTGTTTTTTTTAATTAGTTTTGAACTGTTTTATGAACCTAGATACGCAATGATACTAAGGGTTAGTTGTTACGATGAATGAACAAGTTTTTCAAAGTGACATGCTGAAACGATTTGTAGTACTTCACTAGTCTTAAATGGGGGTTTCAGATAAACAACAGATGTTGGTGCTAGTACTTTCTAAAGACAGTTAACCCGATCTGTTGTCTGACCTGAATTAGCGTGCGAACGTTGAGGGAGACCAATTTGAATAGCATACATGGTTTAAGACTAATTCGGAATTCTTATTCTGTGGTAGCACTCAACTTGGGACTAATCAGTGACTTGAGACCGTTTAGAGAGGACATGATTTCTACTACAAGCGAGGTTCTGTATAAGGTGGAAAATACAATACATACAATGAGAAAAGGAATAAACAAGTGACATGGTGTAAAATAAAAATGAATGTTAGCAAATAATTATGAATATAATTTGTAAAAACGTGGATTGAAGAGAGAGCGGTTTTCCCCAGTCATAATCATCACTCAGTTTGTTTGGGCTGGGATACAGCCCAGATATCCAGATCAAAGCATGTGGCTTTCTTAGAGGGCCACTCACCAAGCTTTGACGTCTAATCCACAAGACAGCGGAACGATGTTAGGAGAGGCGACCACATGGTACCCGACAACCAAAATAGGTTCATACCCTATTTGATACCTCAAGATACTGAAGGCCATGAGCACCACTGATTTCCAACCCGCCTTTTTTACTCTAGGTGGATTCTCTTTACCCACCAACCCGATCTAAGCACTGGACATTCGCTTTTCGTCCTTTCAATTCAATATACATCCATGCCGAGAGAACGTAGTGTGTAGGATCTACCCGGCAGTGGCTGAATGCACATGGATAAAGCATTTCAAGGAGAACGAACTCTTCCGACCTTCGGCCGTACTAGGGAGTTTAGGGATTGGAGAAAATAAGATGCCATCTATTCACACTAGCATAACTTGCATCGAAAATTGAAGTAATGAAAACAAAACATATTTTTCTGAACCAATTCTGAGATCGCCGAAACTAAGTAGGATTGTCGACAATTATTTTGTGACAAACGAAAGCATGTCATTGGGAAATGGTCATTGCTGAACTCCACCCAAAGTGGGAGCTGATTGTCTTGCGATCGATTTGTTGAAAGTAAGTAAGCAATTCAGCTAAAGTCGAAAATTATTGCACACTAAGAATGAACAGTCAAATCGTGACTTATGGTCAGTTCCATAAAATTTTTTAGGTGACTCATTCTTATATACATCTACTGACTGTAAATACTCAATAAACTTGTTTTAATGTGCAGCACAAATCATTTGGCTTTGTTCAATTTCAAGAATAAGTTACCATTCATCTGAAACCTTTTTAACAGACTATTATCTTAATTGATTTGTATTGGTTGCTTTGATCTTCTTGTTGATGTTATAGACTGCAACTGATCAGTCACTTTTAGAATATTTCAATTCTGTAAGGATTGCTTAGATATCGCCACTAAGTCATAAGGAGTTAGATGGTGACTAGCAATGGGGTCCGGGACCCGTGTTTTGTCTTATTTGGGACTTGCCAGATGAGCGAACCTGCATCCGTGTTGATTTTCACACGGAGATTCAAACTTAGTGTCTTTCGCTTCATAGTATGGTTGCTATAACCTCAGATCCTCTGGAACAAAAGGAAACGGTTAGTGGAAATTAGATGAAAATGAATAAAGAGCGATACGACCCATCCATATTTACTATCAACTCAGGAACAATTGAAATGGAATAGCACAATTTTGTTTGTTCTTTTTAATATATACATAAATATAGGATAACAATGAACAAACTTCATGTACCTGTCAACGTACGAGGCTGTAGACAATACTCTTTATTCCGTGAGAGTTATCAAAAATTACTTATTCAAGCTTAAATGGATTCGATCCCTATGAATTGCAAAGAGATCATGAAGGTGAGTATACGAACTCAATCACCTCATACAGCAACACCAGACAAATTATCATGATGAACTAATAAAACGGAAAAAATCAAATGTTTGTTCTTAAAGTGTAGATAGGACAGAAAATAGAAAATTCAAAACTTTCCATACAAAATAGCAACAAAAACATATACACAAAACATGGGATCATAAATGCACCATATTTCAACAAAATTTACTGCTTAAAAAGTTTACACAACATGGTAAATAAGGAAACAGGCTTAATGCCAATTTGTATCAACCATACTATTGGGTGATAAAGACAGAGATATAGGAATGGTATTAGAGGTAGCAAAGAATGTCGATGCTAGCTCTTTAGCAAGAGACATATGAATTTTTGTTAGTAATGAATGCATATCACTATTTGTGGACATGTTATTAGGATTTAAATCCAAATCTGCTCTTAATTCAATCAAAGCAGTGATAAGCACTTCAACTTGATCTCGACGTAGACAATTTCGACCCAATAAGTGTCTTACTTCAGCAAGAAGTCTTATTTTAAGACGAGTTGGTATACGTAAACCAAAACCTGTATTCGAAGAATTTGTACAATCTTGTCCAGTTGAATTGGTGGTAATAAGTGAGTTCCCAGGACTAGTAACTAGTAAGTCAATAATTCGATCAACTGCGCCTTCACAATCACCATCATTAAAACTTTGTTGAAGTTCAGCATAACGAATTAAAAAAGCTAATTCAGGTGATAATTGAAGATGATTCACTTCATTAACTTTATTATTATTAGACGGTTCGTCAAATGATGATCCTCGACAAAAACCTAATATTATAGCAGCCAATTCTGCAACTTCTGTAGAAGCATGCGAAGTTATTGTTTCATTTAAAGTGTCCTTATGCATAAATCCATTATCTCTAGCAAGAGAGAGTTCAGCTAATCGATTAATCATAGAATAATCACGTGCCATTAAAGCCCAACCTATAGAGATACATATTGGAGAATAATTTGATGAATTAATTATAGAACCTTCTTGTGATTGCAATGATAAACATGTAAATCTACGACAATTTAATTTGGCTAATTCTTCAGCAGTTGAATATAATCCTCTAACTTTGGCTTGACTAATAAACTAGTAAAATGAAATAAATAAAAATTATAAATCGTTACAAATAATTAATTAGCTAATTCATTTTAAATAAGTGAAAATAGGTGAAACTATTTAAAACTGTATTCTTATGGAAAACTAATTATTGAGATTACTAATCTGAAGTATATATTACTTATTATTCAGTAATCCAGTTAGTATTCAATTACTGAATAGAATATAACACTTAGGATAAATAATATAACATCACAATAGATTGTATTTCGATTTAGATGACATGTCAAATAAAAAAAAACCAAAAATATATTGGTCAACTACATGGTTGATATTACTTCTGAAAAATTCAGGTTGCAACTGAGTTTCAGTAAATGATTTTCAACATTTTCTAAAATGTTAATTAGTTTTTTTTCTTAGCTTAATTAGTTTTGCCTTTTAAAGAAAGGATTATACGCCTATTTAATGAGTAAATCATTGGTTTTCTGAATAGAAATCAAACTACATGAGATACATGTTCTACATTCGTGAGCACACAGGGACTCGTATATCACATAATTTTTATAACCAATTTACACAAATCATATAATATAATTGTATTGGACGTGTAAGAAATGTCACTAGCGTAATAAATTATTCATGCCTGATTATAGGTAATAAAGTAAATGGGACTATGGTGGATCGGAATTTGAATATACAAATTAAAATTCAGTGTTTTCACTACTAAGCCATAAGACCAGACTCAAACATATATTATTATACAAAAATCTCATAAAATATATTACACATGTTAGGATAGCAGATAAACGTATAAGGTGAGTTACTTGCTCAGCTTTTAATTTCATTTGATTTCGACATTTTAGTCTTGTGTATTGTTTACACATCGGGCTATCATTCCTCCTGCTTTGAGACAACTGTTACGATCGCTTATTTTAGACGGGAAAATCAAAGGGACTGTGAGATTCATCTATTAAACAACATGACTTCGTGGCTACTAATAAATAATGGCAGTGAGGATTCATAGGTAAGGATTATAAATATAGATTAAATCACTTAGTATATTACACAGTAACTAATTCTCATAAAAAGGACAACAAGCTAAGGAAATTCATTAACATAGTCATCAAATTAAAGATGTCTAATCAACTTACCCAGTTTGTAGCTCTAGTTGAAACTGGCACAGCATGCCTCAATAATAAGGTAGATTGACGAGTACGCCCAGATTTACAGTGATCCAAATATCCAAGTGCAATAGATAAAAGACTTGTTTCAGAAGCCAATGATTCGACATAACCAAGAAGAAAAAATTCAACCAATGAAGAGCTGTCTACAGGTTGATACAGTGATTCATTAAACTTAGCATTAGATTTATCTGCACATGTAGTAAATAAAAAGAACGAAAGTGTTTATACCATAATGTAAACGGGTGTTATGGGTGTTTATAGTTTCTGCAATAATAGGTAGGTTTGTGCATAAACTTCTATGAATGCTTGATTAGATATTGGATAGGAAATCAAGGGAATAGTCTGAGCCTAAATGCCCCAAGTATATTATATATTTCAGATTAGAGGTAACTGGTCCATATAGTACTTTACTTTAACCACATTTGAGGGTTTCCAAATGCAGTATTTTCATAATAAACTTTTTTTAAATTTTAAAATGCCATCGCGATTTTAAAAATTTGATTCTATTAAACGTGTGCACTGTTAGTTTCCATTCAAGAAATAAGAGATAATGGATTTATGTGCACATGAATTATATTATTTGTCACATAATTTCACACAGACTCTTAGTTGTTGAGCCGAATATGTAGCACCATTTAGCATTTACATGTCATTACCTATAAATACGATAAAATTGTTGAGAAAACTGGAACCTCAGATGATAGTTCCTGGTTAATAATACTCCATAGCAAGCCATTACCAGAATAACTGATAAAAAAACAACATTTAAACATTTGTTTTATTTAGTAGTGGTCTTATGAAGATAATGTTTAAACCAATAACTTATGAAACAAAACTAACTAATTAATTAAGAAAATGTTACTTACAATTTACTGTTTTTGGACAAGATTCTAAAGATAACTCGTCTTGTTTATGTGTAAGCTGAAGATCATTAAGTACACCAGGATATATGTGATTTAAAAGATTCGTAAAATGTGCAATAAACCACCAATTACTTAATTTTTCACTTGCTATACGAACAAATGAAAATAGATCCACGTGAAAAATGCTTGTGATTAAAGCATCGACGGACTGAGGTAAAAAGTAAACAATAAAAATATAAATAACAGGGACACAATTAAAAGCTTCTGAAAAAATCCAAGTGACAGAAAATGTTTTTTTCATGAGTAAATTCTTATAATAAGGTTAAATTTTCCGAGCTAGCTGGTTTGTTTCTGAAACGTTCAATGACATTAAACACCAGTGAATACTTCGAGTTAACACTAATGATAATGATTATGAGATGTTAGCACTTAAATAGTCCATTTTAAAGGATGTAAAACCATTAACAGCTAAGTAGTACAATTTTGAAAGTTACATTTTGCAATGAACTGTTTTATGGTTGGTAACAAGTATGAATTGTTACCAATATTAAATGTGAAACAGCAATCTTTTTTATTTTATGTAAGTAGATTAAAGTTATTACAGCTCAGTAATCACGTTTAGGTTTGTGTTAACGGCTTTGAGATACAACACTATGTAAGGGGTAGCTGAACAAACATAACTGAATGGCAAACAGTTCACACCTACAACAAAGCTGATAAACGCTTTTAATACAACACATCTTCGTTATCTGTTTACATTATGTAGTACTTAAATAAGAAATTAGATAGGGGATGTAATATACTTTATAAAACTGTAAAAAAAGTATCTAAGACGAACATAAGGCTTTTGTGAATACATAACTGCCCTGATACTCGCTCAATTTGCCCCTAACTAATTTTCTGAGAATTTTTAAAAAAACATTAAACTTTGTCATATTCTGTTAATTGGGTTGTAAATAGAACCTAATGAAACCAAACGGATTCCAATTGTTTTTTGCTAGTTCTAATTTTCGCTGATTTTGAAAAGCAGAATGTTTGTAACTGGATAATTAACCTGTAACGGTACTGAGATCGCGCCTTTATACAGTATTCATAAGTTAAGAGGGTTTTCTAGTCTTCCTACTAAGAAATAATGCCTCCCAAATGCTTTTTTACTTAGCCTGTAACTATAAGTTGATCATATTTTAGAAAATGTGTAACAATGAAATAAAACGAGCATTTTTCGTCTTAATTTAAATCTTGTTAGTTGCATATACTTGTGTTTCAGTGTTGATCTCAATGAGGACTAAAGATCGAAATGGAGGGGGATATTCAGCTAGCAAGTTCTGAATAAGATGAAACGCGCGTGTTGAATTTCACTGTAACCTAATGTCTATCCACAATATGATACACAGTATGTATTTTGACTCAATCGTATGTGGCTAAGAGATGTCATACAATACGGAAATAAAAACAATATCATTAATAGAACAAAGTTGTACTAAAACTGAGAAGAGTAAATTATTGGTTAACGGAGGTGATTAAGCAACAGTATTCTATAATATATAATAGTTATAAAAAAATGTAGATTTTCAACCAATATTCGTTGGAAAGTAGAAGTGGGCTGTTGAAGATCTCAAATTACTTTGTACAAAACTATTTCACATCTATTTACATTCCATTCTAACGTGCGCGACCAGTGTTATCGTTGAATTTCGCGCAAGAAAAACACAGTATAAACAAGCATAGTATTAAACTAACTGAAAATATAGCTTAACAAAACAGCAGAGCGATTAACTTATAAGTAAGGAAAGATATTGCAGTAACCAATAAAAAAGGTTTATATTCGTGCGAAAAATCCTAAACGTTATTTACCTGATCAAAGTTAGAGCCCGGTTCCATATTACCTTTCTTCGTTAAAGCAAGCCATCGATCAAGATCACTGCTTAAACCATCAATATTTACCAACTGGTCAGTGTAGAAAACAAATGATACAAAACGAAAAAACCATCCACGTGAACCTCTAGTTACATCCAGAATTCGCGGGTCATCCCAAATAGACGTACGCCCCGATAAGATATTTACAATTAATTTTATGTAGTCAACTGATGCTGGATCACCACCAACATGGTCGAATTCTCCCGAAGACAGTCGATGTTCACACTCTGACTGCCAATAATTCCACGCCTGCGAAAACTGAGCACCATACTCAGTCCACATACCTAACACCAATAAAAAAACAAGGATTTTTAGAAAACACATTCTGAAAACTTTACATCAGAAACTAAGGATAATGGATTACAAGTAACTAATGAAAACAGAAAGTGAAAGAGACAAAACATAAGTTTCTCAAATCCATGTTCACGATAAAAAGAAAGAATTCAAGCATTGAGTAAAGCTTATCAAGTAGATAAACACGTTGATGGATGAGATACAAGCAAGGATTAACAACCAGTGAAAGTTCACCTAAACAATTAGTGTTACATATGCGTGTTATCAAAAGTGAGTACGTATTACGCTAAAAAAGACATGACAAACAGTCCCCACGCCAAATATACGAAGAAATAATTCTAGAAATGGTTGAAAGTGCAAAGACGTTTAGTTGGTCTATATCTATAAAAGGTGGAAATAAGAATAAATATTTACATAGAGAACAGAGACTTCCCAAAACTGATCATATATGAGAGAATGTAAAAAATTTCTCGAAGCACCTTTTAAAGTATGCTGTTAGAAACATAGAAAACACTGTCAACCAATAAAACATCTTCAGTTAAATAGATGCTGATTTATAGCTAGTCAATAAATAAATTTTCCTAAACATTTGCTAAATGATAGCCATTAAACTGTAACTAATATCTTTGTAATGTAAAAAAATGGATTACGAAGAACGTTTATGTGTAGAAAATGCTTAATTTATCTACTTTATTAACAAGTTACGCCGAGAAGCACTAATTTTAGTTCCAGTAATCGTGCAATTGTAACAATGCTCCTGAACTACTCACTAAGCAAAGTAACTTACTACTGAAGAGCGACAGATCTAGATCCACTTTATGTATTAATCACCAATAATTAGGAAGTTAAAAACGAGAAACGAATTCGGAACAAGTTTATTTAACCTATGATATCCATAATGATTCGAGTGGAAATTACACGGGTATTTATAAAGATATCTGATGTGGTCATGTTGATCAGCCCCACTAAGGAAATAAATTTTATGCAATAGAACTTCAATTTCCGTATTTGCCACAAACTCTTGGAAAAAGAGATGTAGAATATTCAATTTTGGCACATTGGGAGAAATTTTACGAAATAAACCAATTTCATTACGTCAGATGCAACGTAAGACCACGCATATATATGCATCGGTCCAAGTTGCCATACCTCATTAGCACAACAAGATGAACACCAAATTCATAGAAGTAGTTACTTCAATTGTAGTAATAAATAAAAGATTGTGTATAAGGACATAATACAGGAAGAAATAAGTAGGAAGAAAGTTAAGTGTAATCTTAATCCCACAATTTAAGGGAAGACAAAGAGTGTATACACCTACACCATTGTAATCGATTCCGAGCCATGTCAGCCACAGTCTCCAACCGTTGGTTACAATAGTCACGCGGACCCCAACCAAGTAGTCTGCATCTACCAACATGGCTCAGACTAGAAGTTAGTGACTTCGAACACTGGTGCCACGTTTTGGTTTGGCCACCCCCAACTTTCTTCCAACCATCCCCAACACGTGGCCCAACCATCTCAGTCCATGAAGATTCACAACCTCATCAACTGATTTACCATCATTCCCTAATAACCTGCGTCTAACCTCACTATTACTTACCCGGTGATCCCAGCAGACCCCAGCAATATTTATAAGACATCTGTGATCAAATACTAGTAGCTTACGAATATCCTCAACTCTTAATCACCACGTTTTGCAGCCGTAAAGTAGAACAGAGCGAACTGCCGTGCAGTATACTCGTCCTTTTATTGATAGATGGACATCTCGCATTCGCCTTAGGTGACGTAAGTTGGCAAAAGCCAAACGAGCTTTTCGAATCCTTGCTGACACTTCGTCAGACACCAAAACATTAGGGCTTATCAGACTTCTAAGGTAAGTGAAGTTGTCGACGCAGACCAGTCCTGAGGCAACAACTTGCATTTAGAGAGGGAGAAGCGCATTCCAAACAGCCTGACATTGTTGCTCAGTACTACCAAAAGACTCTGGATTTTATCAGAGTCTTCACCAAACAGGAATATGTCGTCTGCGTATTCAAAGTCGATAAGTGAACCCCCTGGAGGGGGATCAACGCCCGAGAATTCAATCGACAAGAACGTTATTTCCATCAGCAGGTCTATTATGAAGTTAAACAAAAATTGAAAGTGGACAGACTTGACGGACACCACTTGAGGTTGCAAAAGCAGATGACAGTTCGCCATAAGCTCTCACTCGACTAGTAGTGTTTGAGGAAAGAGCCTTCACAAGGTTTATGTACTTCTGAGGTACGCCTTCCAATGACAGACACTGCCACAGAACCTCTCAGTTTACAGAGTCAAATACTACTTTCAAGTCAAGAAAAACCATCATTGTCGGACGCCGATAAGCATACCTGTGTTCTAAAATCTGACGAATGGTGAATATGTGATCGATGCAGCCACGACTGGGTCTGAAGCCAGCCTGATTTTTTCGTGTTTGTAGTTCACGAGTCTTTGTTAGGCGCCCGATAATTATTGACGCCAGTATTTTAGATGCTATGCTATTCAAACTAATCCCACTATGGTTATCACCACTTTCAAGTAATTAATCATACGGGATTCTTACTAGAAGTGCGTATTTTTAGATCCCATTCAACCTAGATATTTCTTTTGAGTGATATATGATGCCTTTGATATCGTTCTATTCAATTCTATAAAAGACCCAATGAGTATTGATTTGGATTATTACTGTATGAATCAAAGTTATTACCAGGAACTAAAAAGACAACTATAATGACGAACAATTCAGGATTTAAATGGTTTATTTAGAGATTCAAATTGTCATAACTTTCGAGTAATAAAATAAATAAACCAATGGCTATAAATTGTTTTAAAAGTATATTAGATTATCGCTTATAGAGAATGTTGGCGGCTATGAAGAAACTATTGAAATTTTTTAAGGGAGCTTGCATAATAATGAGAAATTATCTCCATATACAGCTTCCCTAGACTTTTATTACACCTACTTCTCTAGAATAACGATGCTATTACTGTCCAAATAAAGCTCCAATAAAACAGTTGGATACTTTAAAGGCAAAAAACATATTTTGTGAACGATGACACTTGATGGAATCTTTCTCTTGTACATGCTTGGTCGTCATTTGGACTTTTCTGACAAATAGTCCAGGAAGCCAATATAAGATCTATGACCACCAAGTTTCATGTTAAATTAACCTCTAGTTTCCAAAAAAACAGGTGTGATTTAATTGTATGCAGGATGGACAGTTTGTAACAATTATTGAGACAGCGAATTTCAGCAGGAAATATCGAGTATCTACTACGATAATACGAACGATCATAAAGAAATAGAAAACAAATATTTTATTGAGATCTACTTAAGGTAGTGAGACTAACTACTGAATGTCTCAAAAATGCACACGTTACAAAAAATGTCTTAGGCAAAATCACTTGCCCTCTTTTTCAGCATGAGAAGCAACTGGCATAGAAGCTAGAAGTTGACGTAGACTTCGGAGACCACGACCGTTAGAATTAGAATGCAAGACAAGCAAACTTGCTGCTTCTTGACACCTAGCTTGTAAAACCAAGCTTAGAACTGTTGGCCAAAAGTCCTTGTTGGTTTCCCATGATTTAAGATTATTCAGTTTATCATGCAATAAAATATGACCGGATTGCTCTCTGTTTGCACTGTCCAAAATCTCTCGAGCGCGATTAGCCGCTTCCTGGGACTGTACGTAAAACCAACTACAGAGATTGAATGCTAAATATCCAGGTGGAGATACCTAAAATAATGGGAATAAAAGTAAAATTTTTTTATCTTCCAAAGAATTGATTTGCATAACTGTAGTACCAACAACAGGTACTACGATATATCATACGAAATTTCTCATGGTATGACTGGCTTTTTAAGTCGCTTATGATTTATTCTTACCAATATACAGAAGCTGCAGAGAGATACATCTAGGTATGAGAGATATGAATATCTAGGCTGAGGACTTAATACTAGGATTTTTCATATCAAGAAACTGGACTAGGCACATGCACGATTATTGACAAATCCCACCGGAAGACCTACTGGTGTAACATTTTTAACTAATAGCTTGGCTGAAATTGTACAAAATCTGCCATAAAAGTGAATCTTTATGATTAAAAATAATACGGGCAAAGAAATCAGTAAGTAAATACATAAACATTAAAAACTGAAAAGAGAGGAAATACTAGATTTTCAATAAATACGTTTACTGAATAACAGTCAATTTTGAGTCTGTAATAAAACAGTAATAGCTTACTTACAAATATTTAGGATTAATGTTTGACATCTAACACTAGGTACCAAAGTTAAAATGCGTCAGACAAAATATAAAAATAACAATGTAAAAACAACCACATAGCAGCGTGCAAATTGATGAAGGATGAATTCAGTCAACCGATTTGTCTATTTCATAAATGGTTTGAGTTAGAAAAAGTCATAAGAACATTATGCACTTGTGTTGATTTGGAGAGAAATATTGTACATTTAAATTAAAAATTCACCCAAAAAATCTACACGTATGCTTCGTATTAAGAGAACTGAATTTTGTATACATGGCCGTGAGGGGCTTGGTTCCATTCTGAACACCGGGTTAGGTGGCTGGTAAATCCATTAAAGACAAAGTGTTATCTCCTGATGCTCATTCGTGATAAAATAGGACAAAACCACGTGTGTTGTTCGATGTAAGTTCGTATACAACCCCATATTTGAGTGAGTTTTAGCACCTGCGGTCTGACTCTTGTATGATTGAATCACTAGTGATATAGACGAAGTAGATTCTTATTACAATGTATATGCTCAATCGATACATCCCACAACGACGCGGATATAAACATCCGACACGAGTGTTTTTGATGTATATTTTTCAAACATTCCTTTAGGGAGGGCAGACGAAACTATGAGGAGACAGGTGTATCTATTAGAGATATTACATATTAAGTGTCAATTTAGCTTAAATCAATCAGTCCCAACGTGGGACCAGGCACATATATACATCGGTTCAAGTTGCCATACCTCATTAGCACAACACGATGAAGACCAAATTCATAGAAGTAGTTACTTCAATTGTAGTAATAAATAAAAGAAAGATTGTGTATAAGGATATAGTATAGGAAGAAAGAATTAGTTCATAGAAATAAAGGGATAAATCAATTTTAATCCCACAGTTTAAGGGAAAAAAAGAGTGTATACACCTACACCATTGTGATCGATTCTGAGCCATGTCACCCACAGTCTCCAACCATTGGTTACAATAGTCACGCGGACCCCAACCAAGTAGTCTGCATCTACCAACATGGCCCAGACCAGAAGTTAGTGAATTCAAGGACTAATGCCACGTTTATCTCAGATACAAGCACTGAGTTTACTAATAAGGGTACAGACACAAACGTAAAATACAAGGAAAAGAATGTAAGAGGTACATATGCCAGAGGTCACAACTTCCTATGAAAAGAATGAAATCATTAGGAAGATAAGGATGACTGAATAGTCACATGCTACCTCAGTCTCCTAAGTCTCTCCAGAAGCCAGGATCGATTGCATGGATGTGTAATAACAAAGAAACTGCTACAAGTTTTATTAAAATTATGATATGTCACGATGGAATCTCTTCTTAGGGGTGCTACCACAAGAAATTACAAAAGACAGATCCAAATACTGATTAAAAATTTAAAAAATGGTGGATCAGTGGGGTCACGGCGAATATGCAAATAAATGTATACATATTTTCACTAATGCCAGATGAAGCAGTATAAAGTTACTGAAAACTATCTAAATGCTCGTGTACTATGAAGTAAACAATAGTTAATGCATGAGAGATGATGATACTAACGGTATTCCCGAAGGTCAATAGGTGAAGTGCGTATCCATTGGTAATTCAGTGAGTGAAGGCTACATTCTGAATAAGATGCTAATGTCACACTGATATGGAGAATTTTAAAAACAAAGAATACAGTTTAATAGATGATATGCTAAAGCTTGTATAATAAAATAACATGCTTATATATATATATATATATATATATATATATATATATATATATATATACATAACACTTCAGCCATTTGTCTAGTAAAAATACCCATACAGAGTAAAACGGGTGAGTAAGAGGTAGTAATAACTACCGAGCTACACGACTCTATACGCTTCTGATTACCGATCTAGTGAATTGTCGCCCTGTAATCAGGAGTGAACTTGATACATTTCGTTTTTGATAAACAAATACGGACACTTCGATCTAGGACCCGAAAATGTAGTTCCAAGTTTCCACCATTCTAGACAACCAAAGGCACGCATCGGAAACATAAAATGATATTTCTATTCATGGAAAACCGAAAAATCAAAAAGAATGGAAATCAGTAGGTGAAAGATATTAGATCATCCGCAAGTCGTAGACGATAAACGACATCTACTAATATAGATCAATAAAGAAGTTAAAAATTTCATGAACTGGTGTTGCGTTTAGGTTTGGTCAATCATCAGTTCTTTCAAACTACTCTTACGCAATCTGAAATTCCCCGTTGAGATAGATATTGGTTAGAAATACGTAATGTATAATCCAACCGACTCAACTAACCGACATTCACAATCTTACCAATCGATTTCCTACCTTTGTCTAGTATCCTGTGTTTAACCACACTATCCCTCAATCAGTTGTCTCACAATGTATCCATGACAAAGCACCCGCACCCTACACATATCTCATACTTTCATAGTACATGTTTCACACCCACACAAGAATGCGATGCAAATTGATGTACAGAATACTCACCGTTTCTTTGATTGACTAACATCTCGCTTGTACCACATGTGATGTGAACTGACAAAAACCAAGAGAGCTCTGTACATCCTGGCTGAGATTTCGTCAGGAACCAACCAGTTAGCATCAATGAGGCTCATAAGATAAGTGTAGTGGTCGACACACTCAACGACTTCGTTCCCTATGACCAATCTATGAGATGGTTCGGGTCAGTCGTAAAGCAATATTTCGCATTCAGAGGGAGAAAACATCACCCTAAATGAGGTTGAATTATTAATTAAGGTAAATGGAAGACTATTATTTCAGGAAACACCTGAGATTCACTTCTATTTTAAACTATAGACAGGGTTGCGGTTTGGTTGGTGAACTTTTGTGCAGCTAAGAAGTGTTGATATGTGATCAAATATATAAACAATTATCGGGGATCAGATGATAATATGAAACTAATCCGCAAATTTATTAGCCAGCAGTCCGACCCAAGCGAAGTGGTGTAGAATTACTTTGAAGGCCACAAAAGAGTAACAATAAGTGAGTTGGATAAATCTAACAGCAAATGAAGGCAATTAAGAGAATACCTTTTTTACATAAAGCGAACATACTTGGATAAAAATCAGTTCCGCAAGATGCCACAAGAGCTCTAATGTCTGAATCAGATTACCTTGGGCAATTAGATGAGCTGCCCTTGCCTCATCCGAACCTGCTGAAAGTTCTGAAAGGAATAAGATATGCTAAATTACTTAGAAATGTGAAAATTTCATTTGAACACACAGCTAAGGCAGCTCTGTATTGAATGCTGTGGGTGATAAATCTGAAGGGGAATATTTTAACAACCAAACTTACGAGTTCTGCCCTGAACATTTTTGAAGTGCTGAAAACACCTCTATTCAGAATTAGGTTTAAAATATTCTTAACCTACCAAAGGAACTTTTAGCAAGGCGTCTCATAAACTCATCGTTGTATATTGACGTGCCCCATTTAACATTTTCAATGAGTATCTCATTGAGAGTGGATTCATTCGAAGCAGTTGTTCTTCTATAAATCCCCAGTTCATTTTCTGATAACCAAGCATGATTTAAAGGGCCGTGGACCCCCACAACTAGGGGACTCTCCATCCGGAAAGTAGCGCAAATCTTCAAAATCTGGCTTGGAATTCTATGGCCTTCAGACTTGCACAAGTGTCTGGATCATAGGGGATGGGTCTTGGTTACGATAGAATATAATGCATGTTTATTTTATTCACTCAATGCAGAAAACAATGGTTAATGAGGTAGTCCAGAAAAAAGTCTAAGATTTTCTTATTCGTTCTCTTTGAAAGTGACGGTCGTGCCTGTAGTTTCATTACACTCACAAAGAACTTTTTTGTAAACATAGTGGCTGGATATGTTTGATTTCCGGTGTCTTTGAGGCTGAAGTGTGTGCTTCTTTATTATGGGTCCTGTTAAGGTCATTTCATCGTCTTCTTACAAATTTTGGTGTTCCAGTGTCAATATTTTTGCTGCTTACTCAAAGGTTACGATGTTGGTACATGATTTTTTTCAGTCGACGGACTTTTTAACGATTTTGATGTCTGATTTGATTTCTCGTGTTCGAACATCGAAATTCATGCCATTATCACCAGCTACTTTTGCGAATGCTGTGAAATATTTCCTGTGTTAGTTGTATTTTGTATCCTGGATCCTTACCGTGACTACTTTGTACGTGTATTCTAAAAACCGGTCTCAGACTTCCTTCCAGAATGATAGATGGAAACGTGCAGAACGCTTCCTCTCTTGTTCAATTTTTTTAATTTTGTGATAAACACAGTACTTTATAATCGGTTGAATGTGTCAGCTTTGCAGGTCGATCTACAGCAGGTAACTGGGAAACTCATTCTCAAACTGTTGTGGACTCTCATTTGAGTTACTGATCTCTTTCTTGCACTTATACACTCCCACGAACTTTTAAGTGATCAATGACGGTTAGGAAGTTTTCTAACGAACCTGACAACACATTGGATTTGATACCATGACACCCACAACAAGTTTCACTGAAATTTTAGGTCTAACGGCATGATAAGAAGTTCTCAGGATAATCTCTCTTCTTCTGAGCGTTAAACTTAACCGTAGGTGGTGAACTGAGATGTATGACGTACAATACTGATGATGTCACAGGTATTCAGTGTTTGACAACGCTTCTATCAGTAACACCTTCTAATATATTTCGTTCCCGCCCAGAGAAATCAAAAGACAGAGTCGAGGAGATCGGAAGAGTATATTTGGCGATGACCAATATATCGGAATTCTCTGATCTAATCTGGCTAGCGATTGCGGTTGATGTTGAGCACGGCGTTATCACACGTGATCTGGTGCGGATGCCTGACCGAGCGCCTTCAGCTAGGTGAGTCCACTAAAACATATGGTCAGCATCCAATGTCGAAAACTTAGTGCTATTTATTTTGGGGATTTATTTACCGCTACAATACACTTGTAGCAAATCTGGCTAATTATCACGCCAATACTCTTTGACTTTCACATACTTCCTGAAATTTCGAACGACCGTATGGAAGACGCGCTTCTTATTATTTAGGTGGAAAATGGGAAACCGATATGTATACACGATAAAAGGTATGTTAACATGACCTTGATGTTATACATGCTGACTCACTGAAGTTTTGTTATTGTTGAAGTCCTAATGCTTATTTTTTGCATGGATCTGTCACCGCGTGATAACTTGCCCGTTAGATCAGGTAAATGAATGTTTCTATCGTTTGTGGAGGTTTATTTTCTAATTACGGGTTATAGCTTGTTCTGATCAAGCATGCAACTGACCAGCACTTTCCTCCGACAAATAGCAGGTATCCAGGACCGTATAAAACTGAATTTAGTCTATTATGTGTAAATAGGGATGATACATGTAATACCAGAACTGAAGGACCATCTGTACCCTCAAAAAGCTCTCCGACTAGCTCTTGTAAAGCCAGGGATAACAAAGAAGACATGTAGAATTATGGACTTATTCGATTTTAGTTCTACCATAATAATAGACTAAATTCCAAAGCTGTAGGTTTGTCATTATGCGACTATCTAATCTATAAAACCTTACATGAAACTCTCATCATTGTCTACACGGATTCATCCGATCGTGACCATCAGCAGTATGATGCTTATCGTTTCTGAAGAACACATTTGATCTAGGAAGAGAGTAATATATTTGACGCAAGAATATGGGGTTGCTTGGGGTGACCATGTTTTCATGACCAAGCCATGCCATTTTGATTAATTGTTCATGAGTTCACGATTAATTGCTTTCTCTCCGTGTTAAATGCTGAATACGAAGCTTCTCAAATATCTCATGTTCTGCTTCGAGGGTCGTGCGGTTGGATTGAATACCACTACACTATTTTCTCACCAGAATCAAGGTGAGACCTTTGCATGCCAGAGCTTATCAAAAGAATAATAAGAACCTTCCAGGTACTAATAAAATGAAAGATGAATGAAAAAACGCGGTAGCAAGTGATCGTGAATTACAAGTACTAACTCCAAAATGCCGTTTTTAATTCTCAACTCGCTCAAAGTGAAAATCTACATGAATATTATCATTTGGGCGTTAAACAAAGAGAGGTTATAGAGATATTTTCAAAAGTCACATTAAGATGCATAGTATTAACCGTTCGTTAATAGGTTGACGTGTAGGCGGTATAATTATTTTGTGTTTAAAAATAAAAAAACGATCAATGGTGTATCATAGTTTTTATTGGTATGGTCTTTGATGTAAATTATAAAGTCAATCAACGCTTATACCGGTATGCTCTCCGCATGAGTTGATTTCGAGTTTCACTCTCATTAGTGGGTTAACTGAAGGAGCGAAAGTGCAACCGCAGAGAGGACAAACTTCAACTAGTGTTGCAGTTAATCTGTTGAGTTTATTACGGTTGTGGGTGAGATTTTGTCGATCCTATTATTGCTTAGCCGTGACTTAAATTGCTGATAAATATGAATCGCCATCGAGCATTTATTTAGTGCGTCGAAATAGTGATAATCATGCCAATTTCGGGCAGACATAACAGTAACTCACTAAACTTGAGTGTGTCCATGCTCTGAAATCAATAATTTGAGTAAACTGATTATTTATATTCATACTTACCAGTTGTTGGTGCAGACAAGTTAGTTGTAAGTTTCATGTTAAACAGAAATCGACTTATTTAAAATAGAACGACCATAAGATGTTGAAATCAACTGCGCTTCACCTTCTATTCAAAAAGATTTAGGAGGAGGAACAAGTGCCGATGGACTGGAAAGAAGGACACCTCATCAAGATTCCAAAGAAAGGAGATCTGAGCAAACGTAAAAACTACAGAGGCATTACATTACTGTCAATACCAGGGAAAGTCTTCAACAGAGTGTTGCTGAACCGGATGAAGGATGCAGTAGACGCCCAACTTCGAGATCAACAAGCTGGATTCCGTAAGGATCGGTCGTGCACAGACCAAATTGCAACACTACGGATCATCGTCAAACAATCAGTTGAGTGGAACTCATCACTATACATCAACTTCATTGATTATGGAAAGACATTTGACAGTGTAGATAGGAGAACGTTATGGAAACTTCTTCGACACTACGGAGTTCCTGAGAAGATTGCCAATATTATACGGAACTCATACGACGGACTACAGTGCAAAGTAGTGCATGGAAGACAGCTGACAGATGCATTCCAAGTAAGGACCGGAGTCAGACAAGGTTGTCTACTCTCTCCCTTCTTCTTTCTTCTGGTGGTCAATTTGATTATGAAGACCTCGACATCTGAGGGAAAACACGGAATACAATGGACAGCTCAGAATCAGTTAGACGATTTGGACTTCGCAGATGACCTAGCCCTCCTATCGCGTACACACGAACAGATGCAGATGAAGACAGCCAGTGTAGCAGCAGTCTCTGCATCAGTAGGCCTCAGTATACACAAAGGGAAAACCAAGGTCCTCAAATTCAATACGGAGAACAGCAATCCAATCACTCTTGATGGCGAAACTCTGGAAGATGTAGAGTCCCTCACAAACCCAGGAAGCATCATCGATGAACAAGGAAGTTCAGATGCAGACGTAAAGGCGAGGATCGGCAAAGCAAGGGTCACATTCCTACAATTGAAGAACATATGGAACTCAAAACAACTTCCAACCAACATCAAAGTGAGAATCTTTAATATGAATGTCAAAGCAGTTCTACTGTATGGAGCTGAAACTTGGAGAACTACTACAACCACAACCAAGAAAGTACAAGTATTTATAAGTAGCAGTCTACGCAAGATACTCAATATCCATTGGCAGGATACCATCAGCAACAGCTTTCTGTGGGAGAGAACAAACCAGTATCCAGCTGAAGAGGAAATTAGGAAAAGACGATGGAAATGGATAGGGCATACACCACGCAAATCGTCAAATTGCATCACGAGGCAAGTTCTAACTTGGAATCCTGGAGGGAATCGGAAAAGTGGAAGGCTAAAGAACACATCACTTCGGGAAATGGAAGCAGATATGGAAAGGATGAATAACAAGTGGAAGGAGCTGGAAAGGATTGTCCAGGGCAGGGTTGGTTGGAGAATGCTGGTGAGCGGCCTTTGTTCCTTCACGAGGAGTAACTGGAGTAAATAAGTAAGTTATGTTACATAAATATTAATGTATTGCGATGATCCCTTCTAAATGATTCTTTACTAGATGATGAGCAGTAGGTGCTGCCTATATGATTATCAGGAAAAACGCAAGTTGTAATCAAGTGAAGCACAGCTCTAAACTCATGTCTATGATGACGACATGAACCTCTGTCAGTGGTGGATCAAATTCGACAGTAACGTTTCCAGTTTCTAGAGGATTTGCGCGACTGCTCATACTTATGATTGTCGTGAATGACCTTGTCACTAAACCTCCACTCATACTGACGAGGTTCTAAGATGTTTACCAAATGAGAAACTAATAGTGAAACATGCTGAAGTCATTTACAAAAGTTAAGTATAATCCAAAGCCCGGAGGGGGAGAGTTGAGCATGGGGTTAGCGACCCCATCCTGTAGAAAACTAACTCGCTAAAAATATGCTAGCGCTAAAGACACTTCATATAATTGTTAAGTCCAAATGGCATAGATATGATATCATGCAATGCATGTATAAGCTGGGTTAACATGTGCATTTATTAGGATGGTATGGTTAAGACAAATAACACTACAGGCAATAATGTGGTTCATTAGGAAGGAATGCGGTCATCAAGCGGTCGATGAGCATCCTTCTTATGTGAGGACTATCATCTTATTTTTACTGTTCAATAAATGTATTAAATCTTTCGTTTTACCGCCTATTTAATGTGTAAATACTGAATATAAGAGTAATATTTTCAACAGGGACTTCATGTTTATGATCTAAGGCTATCTTCATGTGTCATCTATGAACGCACTTTTGAGGCCCTGCTCAACTTTCAGGATCAAGAAAGTATATGAATCGAAAGTTAGAGCTTGGGATGAAATCTTCAGTAAAACGTATGATGATATGTACGGCATTCGCCCGCTAGATGAATAGAAAATGCTAGAAAATACGAATATACTAAACAGTCAATTGTAAGTGCGTTCCAGATTTTCGTACTGCTTAACTCTTCATCACGTAGATTCTCACAAAAAGTCATGATTGGCATTCAACCTACGATCATCAGAACATTTATGCGAAAACAACTATATATGTCCTTCTTAGTGCAGTACTATCGATTAAGCTGCAATGTTTCCGATAGGATTTGATCTGCATTAAGAAGGACCTGACACACGTAACACTGATCACCACCCTGTGATGAAACAATTGTGAGGTATTTGGCCTCTTAAAAATAAGGTGACCACGTACTTATTGGATTGAGTTTGGGATCATTGTTTAAAAGGTATTTGTACTGAAACACTGTTGAATGATGCTTATTCGCTTCACGTCCAGCATTTGACAATTTTTGATTATGAAGTATGTTAACTATCAAGACTCAACTCAATGGACAGTGAGTGAATCAAAGTCGGGAATAAATAATGAAGTGTTTCAGTTGGTTCGTCTTCCCTCTCTCTCGTGCTTGTCAGCTAATCAGGTGATAGAATAGTTTTCGTCTCTCTACTAAAGGCAGTTAGTCTCACTTCGAACCCACGCGATTCTAGCCTCAAGGTTAGACCAGTCAGCCTATTGTGTCAAGACCTCAATATAGATTGAGACAGGTTGTTTTCTGTATGTCGGTGGGTAGAGAGATCAGTGATGTAACAGATACTCTTACTGAATCTTGGTTATCTCAGTTGAAATTACTAAACACTATTCTTGACGTTAAGAAAAGCTAGTTCGCTCTATGAAATCCTTTGATTATAAGCTCAGGCTGTACCACCTGAGGTCTTTTCTACTTTTGATATAATTTATTTTTTCTTACGTTAGAACAAGTAAATTAGATAGAGTTTTTGTTGTGATATAATTTAATACGAATGATTCAGAAAGGGTTTGTTCGATATAAAGAAGAACGTAGCTTGCTTTCATTGAGTAAAATGTGCTTTTCTGATCTTTTGGGTTCACCCCAGATCCTAGAAGTTTAGTTGTCACAATGGTTCATAAGCCATTGTCCGTTAATACTCACGTTGTTATATAGTAACTGATAAAAGTTTAGTAGCTATTTGTAAGTTCCAGAATTGCTGACATTATAATAGTTCTGTCTTTGTATTATTCAGTGAGTTGCTTTTTAATTCCAATACTTCGAAAGACTCTAACTAGTAGTATATTTTGTATAATAACATAGAAAGGATTACAAAAGGGTTCAGGAACAGCACTGTCAAAGTTAATATGAGTGCAGAGTAAACAAAATATACCTAAACAATATTTTTACCGATAGGTACAGTCACCAGTAAAAAATAATCAAATTATGGGACGTTAAGTGACTAAATCGTTAGGAATATGAATGGATCACTTATCAAACAGAAAAAGTGTTCCTTTCAATTAAGGAACAATATTCTGTTTAAGCATAAGGAATAGAAAACTCAGATTTACTTTGGAAATTGACAATTAAACTGTAAGAAGTGCGGAAATTGTGCAACTAACTATTGATCAACAAACAAGGAACTAGTTAAAATATAGGCAAAATCTAAAAACAAATATTCGTCTAAATAGATATTATATTTTAATAAATAAAATATTTGCTTTTTAGTTGTTGCAAAAACAGATTAATGATATTTTGAGAGGGGGCGAACTAAGTAAATAAATTAACGAAGTAAACAAAAATGTAATGGTAAGGTAAAAAAAGCCTCTTCATAATTCACTATTTTGATCTAAATAAACATATATTACAATTTCTATCGGCTTTTTTTATTTGATACTGAATAGTCAGTTCACAGTTGTGATTTAATAATAATTCCCATAGTTTAAGTTGATTGTATGTTGACATCATAAACCATGTTATTTCAGAATGATTTTCATATTCTGTTATTTGATAAGAATTAGGTAGATAATTAGCGAAATAATTATTTAAATCATTGAAACATTCTGATAATCTTAGATTGTTGCATTTTGAAAAGATCATTCTTCCTTGATGTGGTGAAATTTTGTCAATCTCTGTTAATATAAAAAAACATTTACTTTGTGTTACTTTATTCGATGGCAAGGTGTGCCCAAATCGGTCTTTTTGATGTGAAGGTGAACTGTTAGCTATACATTCTGGAAGAGTGGAGATTTCTATCGTAGTGTTTACGACTGAATCAGAACATATATTACTAATCTCCGATTTTTGTGCAGTATCAATTTTCAACTGTTTTTTTGGAGGAAATGGCATATCTGTCTCGTTTTTTTCTTCTTCATGAGCACACTTGTTATAATTTGTTTCTTTCCTCTTCAGTTCAGTTTTGATTTGTTTGAGTTGATTAACCATTTCATCTAACCCATAAAAAGTTGCTTCTTCCACTAACTGATCAAATTCTGTAAAATTAGGATCTAAGTTAACTTTATTAGTACGTAGAAAATTGAGCACATGTCTAAATAATACCCCATCACGATCTATAAAATAATGTTGTTTCATTGTATCTAATACAATTGGTATTGTGCCGTTGAACATTTTGCCTAAAATTGAGTTTGGGTACCTGTGTCATTTAAAAAAATATTACGATTATAAAACTTTAAATAATCGCGAAAATCTTTAGTTCTTTATAGCTTGTCGCTCAAAGGAATTCACAAATGTATGAAATCATATAACTTGTATTCAAATCAAAATTTTGGACTACAATCTAGGTGTGAGATTTTACTGTTAGTGACTAACCTCATACATGATGGGTACATTCATATTGTCGTGTTGACTGAGATAAAATCTTTGATCACTTATACATCGAATACAGCATTACATGTTTAGAAACCAATCAAAAAGGCATATTGAGTGTGTGTTCGTAACAATGATATTTAACATAAATAACAGTGAGATTGAAATCGAGAATTCATTCGCTAAACGCTTTATCAACTCGGAGGTGAAACCAAAAAGGCATCGAATTTTAATTTTTACTTTTATCATACTGTTGTATTTTCTTTCAGTGTGAACAACAAGCAGTCAACAAGCTTCAGTTAATCACATTTAGACGATAAACCCACCACATATTATCATGAAATTTATTTAGGACGCTACTATTCTATCAAACAAGGAGCGAAAAAAAATTTCAACTCTGTTTAATAACAAGTAACAACAAATTATCTATATGGTAATCAGTGTGTGTGTATATGGAAAGATTTATCAGCCTTGCTAAGGAAAATCAAAACGTTGGATAACATTGTACAAATACATAGAGATAATATGTACTTTCAATGGTAATCTCTTTCCTGAACTCTGATTATGTATGAAAACTTCGAAAAAACTCAATTGGGAAGTAACTGTTAAGTAATATATCTTCAAATTCGTCAAAAATACTATTATATATAGGCCAGCATACCAGCAGATCAGATCCTATTTCTACATATATTACTCGAAACGCTATAAACATGATATAATCTAACAAATTGTGATAAGTGAAATGAAATGTTAATAAAAGTATGGCACTGAAATACTATTAAAATTGCATCAAAAAATCGATAACACGAATGACTCATCTCATTTTGTGCATAGAACAGAATTTAGGAGTATACTGTAAGGGTCCTATTACTTCGTTCTCCTATTTCCCAAACTTCAACTCTGATATGGATTTTACCCAAAATTTCTAATTGTCATGGACCAAACATAAGATTTTAGTTATCAAAATGAATTTGAAAATCACCACTTTTCAAAATGAACAACCCATAATGAAACAAACTGTTTATCTTATCACCGACAGGAATATCTGTTCAATGTAAACTTAATAAATCATGATTAACCACTGAATTTTTTACAAAAAGCAATATCTTCACTTAGTTTAGTAACTAACAGAATATTCTTACACAGTTCATAAAAAATACAGTGATCGGTGGTCTGTTTTAACATAATAACGGACAACAATGTATGTATTATTAAGAATTCTTTAAAGCGTTTTAGACTTTTTCTAATGTCCTAGTATTGTGGTGCGTGCTACTGATGTCGACAGATATAAGTAGTATGTATCATCCAATCGAAAGTGAAATGCCTGGAGGTAGAAGGTTAAGAAAATCGAAGAAAAGAGAATAAGAACAAAGAATGATTGGTGTGGAAACTAATGAATGAACAGTGAAGTCTGAGACGATTGATTAACATTTTGCAAATGAAGTATTCATTGTATGTTTTCCAGATTTTATTAACCCGTTCCGTAATTTTGTGTTCAAATACATTTGATTGTTCCCACTTATGTTCTCGTTTATTACAGTATGATTTTTTCTATTTTAATTAATTGATTCATTTATCACATTTTAAATAATTCATTTTCCAAAAAGAGAAAACTAGTTACCAGCATCTAATAATATATCATAACAATAAAGATGAAGGAAGTTTGAATAGAATAATATTGAAATATGTATATTTAGGTTTTTGATAATTCGTTCATACACTTTATAATTGAAGATGATTTGTTAGCTTGTGTTTATAAACTAATCATTTATTTGTGATAATTAATTGACTGACTATTTACATTATAATATTCTCTGAAGTAAGAATAAAAGTTGAAAAATCTAGTTGGAAAATGAAAGTTCAAAATTGTGAATATCACATTTATTCCATCGGAGAAAAAATATATTCATGATGAAAATAACATTGATCTTCTATAAGAGTTAAAAATAAGTTTTTGAAAGATTTCAATCAATAAATCATGTACCAACATTTTAATGAAGAAAATTATTTGATGGATTTAACTATGAAGCTGAGTTACACTGGATGTAGTCCGTCAGGGAGTACCAGTTCCCTCAAGATTACAGGTACACGTTCCTGACGAATTATAGATAGCATGAAACCCGGGTCCAGAGTTTCTTGTTAACTACCTCTAACTACCATCTTATCTCAACATATTGCACGCAATGTCGAGTCATCTAGACTAGTGGCCACATTGCAACTTGGTCGATAGCATTCGATCTGCACTAAGAAGGACCTGACACACATGATATTGATCACCACCCAGTGATCAATCAATTGTGAATACAACTTAACTTCATTAATGATTATATCAATGAATTTATAGTAAATTACTTGATTGATCACATCAACTTTTAATTGTACTCGAAGTTTTTTTGACATTTTTTTCCAATCAAACATAATTTATATTCGAATAGCGATTTAAACAATTCAATCATATGAATTCCAAGTTGAAGAAACAAGATGAATAGATAAAAAACTAGTAAATTAGTTCGGCAAAACAACTAAGTTCTTTTCAATCTATTGGAAGTTATTCAAGTTGAAAGTATGTAGCTTTCATTCATTTTGAAGTTGGTTTTGTTCACCAACTAATGATTATAGTAATTACGGAACGCCAGTAAGCAATGACTTAATTTCATACACTAACCATTAATTCTAACTTAATGATATAGTTAAGTTAGGAAAGGTGACAAACAGTAATTGAGTTAAGAGATTAACAGTTACGATAAGTTATGACTTGGCTGATGCACAGGTTTCTGGTTCACTATTGTCAAATACTAATTCATATTGTTGAAAGAGTGCTTTTTGTTGTAGTGTCATGATATTGTAGATGAGGTTATCGATGGGCTCACCACTTTTGTGGTGCCGTGATCTCTCTCCGATTTGATCGTATGATGTTATCGAAATATACATCATGGCTACCCTCGTAGATAATTATCGACTTAATTCACGTTAGAGAACAACAGAATAAAATATGCCAAATAAGAGAATGAATTTTGAATATGTATATTTCGTAAACTCGTTGATCCGGACATACATTCAGAGAAATGAAGTGAAGAAAGCGAAGCAAAACGAAACGAAGTGACGAACAGCGGAGAAGGCGAGTAAGCCAACTCGATTTAATGAAACGTAACTCAATATTTTTAGTCAAACCAAAAGTAAGTTGCAGTTACATAATGAATAGATAGGGTGAGCAATTAACACAGTCAGGGTTAATAAGCGAATAAGTGATAAGGTCAAAATGTGACTGAAGAAGAATGAATAAATCGGTCTACATGAAAGCTAGAACAACTCATGTGGGCTTGTCACAATACCAGCAACTGTATACCAACTAGATGACAGATAGATGTTAACGATTATCAACTAATATATTTTCAGTATTTAAGCTATCAAGATTTATTTTATAATGTTTGTTGATCGATTGATGGGATTGTGAATGTCGGTTAATTGAGTTGGTTGGATTATACATTACGTATTTCTAACCACTGTCGTTGTTGAAGAGCGATCAGACTGCTTCCTAAATCATATTTAAATCATACAGATCTTTAAAAATCCGTGTGCAGAAATCATCGAGAATTGAATGTAACATGTTAAATTTTAACAAGGTTTATTATAATTAACCCTCAAGGGATTGTTCTTCACGCGTCAAATTAAACAGTCTTTGTATATATAACAACTGTAAATATTTCATTTTATTTCCATTTATCATGATTTCACTATGTTATGTTTAATTTGATATGTTTTTGTAGTTTAGACTTCCTTAATTTATGTATATAAGCGTCTCGGCATTTTGAATGTGCTGACTTTATAATTATTCAGGTTGAGTCTGTGTTCATATATCGTTATACACATATACACACACGAGTATCAAAGAATTCATGCTTTCTAAAATGGATTTATGGATAGTGGTGCATATCACTAGGTTTTATACTGAATTAATGTATTAGGTATATACTCACTATAATACACCTCCAGTTACTGATTAAGTTTACGCTCTTATCAACTTCAACTATCGCTTTTTGCTAATCACCAAAGTCAAGATTGCTCTAGGCCAGGGATTTGATCAGCTTAGCCTTGAGCAATATAACCTTTTTGATGTAAACGTGGTTTGTGGGTATGCTATAGTTTATGAACTAGAGAAGTTATAATTTCCCAGAAGGCAAATTCATTTAGATCTTAATTGTGTGATATTATGACGAAACAGCTTCCAGATAGTTTATTTACTAGTAAATAGAAAACCTACTCAGTTGTCACGCTTTAAAATATAATATTGAGCGGAATTATTGAATTCTATTGTATTCTTTCTGGTTTGTGGTTTTTTCTTATTACAACGAATGTGATTGAAGGAAATGAGAATTCAGCATGCAGTAAGAAAGAAGATCATTGCTTTAATGAAAACTGTGAGATATGTTTCGTTCAAATGATATATTTCGTAAATAAAACGTTTCTAAAATTATATCGTAAAAAGAAACACTGATGATTATAGGTATATTTGAGAAGTGATTCATGAATGTTTCAGATTTCTAAACCATTTTGGTATGGAATGCAAGAAATTCATATTTTATGGTAAACACATTACTTACTAGTCATGTTACTAGAACTCAATTTAACAGAATCATAACATTTTCCATAAAGCTTCTAATTTACGATAAGAATAAAAGATTTCGCGGTGAGACTATAATTTATTGACAACTTTTTAGCAACGCTAGAGTGATTTTGAGAGTATCCGCCTAACAACTACGACCAAATTAAGATTACAAATCAGTGTGAGGAATTAGAATTATGATTTACAGTTGAACGTTAAGGTTATGAATTAGATGTAATGTTTTCATCACGGACTGACATCACCTATAATGCCAAAACAGTATCGATGAGTGAGTTTCGCGTCAAAATTCAAGACCTGTCATCTTATTCCTGATTGGTTCATCCATAAATTATAGTCTCACCGATTTTGCTAATATAAAAAAAGTTTACTCTGTTTAATATTCTCTCACCTATTTGATTTCTCAAGTAAAACTAAAGATTAAATGAGGTACTATAATAATCACAGTTCTTCAGAAATAAGTCAGTTTTTGAATCTCTATTCACATATTTTGGTTGTAGAAACCTGGTATTATCACTGGATTTCCTCTAAGATATAGCTTTAAGTTAAGAACATAAGCCTGTACTTGGCAGTTAGGTTACTAAACAAAAATCAACCATGATTAGTTATGTTTTCTGAATTTCAAAGAGGATCTGGTGGCAAAAATATGAGATATACTTTTACTTTCTAGTAAGAACTTAATGAATTTAGAATAACAGTAAAAAACCACTGTCTTTCCGTTGAAGTTTGATTTTTCAGTTCAAAACAATTTGTGGTATTTGTATGAATTAATGATATTTTTGTACTTGATTTCCTGCTTATTAAGAATTCCAAATACAATACGTTCATTTGTGCTCATTTAGTTTTGTTTGGCTTAAATTGTACTGCTTCCGGAACTCTTAGTTAATACGATGATTCGAATATTTCTTATTATCGTACAGTTACATATTTTAAGATTTAAAAAAATTATTGATTGGAAAAAAGTACTTTGATATAATGTTAAATTTATATTTCGCTGATTTTTTAAAATCAAGGTGCACTAATAGCATTTGCAGTGTAAATTAACATATCATTATTTGAGACCCTATCTTGCCCTTGCTAAAATATAAAACCTGTGACAAAAGTTGATATTACAGTAGAAGTATCTGGTTAATATACTGAGTCAATGTAAACCTGAAATTCATCGTCTTTCTGGTAAAACAACTAAGCTTCGGCAATTCAGTAAACGGTAATTTAGAATATGTATCTGTATAAATTATAAATTTGGTTTTACGTGTTTCAACAACTCACTCATGTAGCTAGTTACTTTTAAGGGAGTGGAACTTTTTAAAGTACCGCTTTGAGAATATATTACCTTCGTGACAGATTTTGCTAATGGTTTCCTGCTTTAAAGAGAATATTATATATTCCATTGTAACATAAGTAAGAATTTCATGTCGGATTTCAGAAGAGTTATAAAATAATTAGGAAAGAGTAAACAGTATCAAACTTCAGAAGATTAATATCTTCTATTTTACAAGAGGTGTTTTTATAATGCTAGCTTGTCATCAAATATTTTCAAATAATTGGTTTTAGATAATTACAATAAAGCAATATATGTCTAAAATTGTAAACAAAGTATGAATAAAACAGTGTCAAATGTGCTATTTTTCCATTGAATAATTGTGTATCTTCAGGCGTTATTTAGATGTTAATTAAATATATCTGACTGATCTTTACACAAAGTTAAAAAAACATACATAACAAACACATATACATCGTGATACAATTTTATGATCACTAAAATGTGAACTAAGGTGATTAGCTTTTTTGTTTCAAATCATCAATATTTCTTTTCAAAAATATTCGTAGTATTCCTAAGTTACCTTCTAAAAACGATATATTGTTTTGTGAGATATGAGGATAAGTTGAGATGCCAATTTCAACCTAATCATCTTATCTAATAGTTAACAATTGGGATATTATACTGATTAATAATTTTAAACTAATGATATGTTAGTAGTTAGTAAGATTTTCACTCACTTTGTTAAAGCTTTTAATGAAGATGTATATAGTGTACCACCAACATCTATATGTACTGGAGCTGAATATCTGGTAGGACTGGCAGGTTGAGGTACACCAAGTTTAGCCCAGTGTAATACTGGCCTTTTATTAGAAGTATCATATAATTTAGATTGTGGTTGCTGTTGTTGAATTTCATGCTGGATTCCCAAAGAACTGATGTTATCATTAGACTTGGAAAGATCACTTGTGAGTTTTCCTTGTGATTCCGTAAATAAAAGTTCATTGTTATTGTTAGAGATTTTATTTGTTGATTGCATTTGAGAACGTCCACTATTTGTTATATTCAATAAATCATTTTTATTAAAACATTCAATGTTTGCAAAGTCGTTAGTTTTTATCATATTGTATCCTTCATAATTAGATTGATTGTTATTATCATTATTAATGCAGTTCTTAGGGCCTAATTTTACTGATGCAACAATTGACGATGCCGAATCATTCAACGTATTTAAAAGCAATATTAGATCAGTTGATAATCTGCTGTCAACATCAGAATACTCTTGATACTGTTTTATTTCATTGCATAATTGGTATAATTTAGGTGGATTCCATGTACTGACCTCACTACTATCATGAATCATGGTAACAGATTTGTTAGATTCAGACGTACTAATGATCTCTGAGTTGTCAGTTGCACAATTATGACTTTCCATCTCTATTCGCTGACATGGTTGTAACTGATTGATGAGATCTTTCAGGCCAACATTTAATTCACTTTGAATATTAACGAAATCACCTTGATTACTATTAGCGTATTCGTCAACTTTATTTTTATGTTCTGTATACTCTTGTAATTCATTTGAACTTTGAAAGTTCATCCAATCTAGCTTGAGTATGTTTTGTCCATTGGAAGCTGTCTGTATAAGTTTGAGAAGTTCTGTTGTCCTATCAATCGTCAACTCAGTAGTGTGTGTTGTACTAGGTAGAATTGAAGTTGATATTGGTATATGAGATGATAATTCAGATAGTGATGTGATCTGTTCGGGTATCATTATGTTCTATAAATTGAAACAGGTATAATTATATGCCTCATTATATTTTGAATACAGTGGCAAATTTGTACATAATAATGATAATAAAATCATTTCACAAAATTGCTTTATTTTCCCAAAAACTTACCACAAAATTTCGTTTCATATTCATAGATTATTAGTATTGAAATAATGAAGTATTATTCTTCGTTGACTGAACCGGTTCAGATTTAAATTGTTCTACCAATTAACTCCAGTACTCTGGAATTATTCAAGTTGAGACAATAATTATTTATGAAGGTGTAAACATTCACCTAAAGTGTTTATTTTTTTAAAAAAATTTTCACTAGAATCAACTCTCAGTAATAAGTGTTTACGTTAAATATTTATGAATTTAGAAGTCCTTCTTTAGTATGAGTTTTCTTTTCTTTTTTTAATCTAATCTAATTTTTTGGTTTGTTTACGGTATATAAAACTCATATATGAAGTAAATTTCATTGATTTTGAGTCAAACGTAACCAATTATATATCTCATCTCTTACTATTGGGATTATATATTATTTAAATGATGAATTCGCTAGTAATTAAGATCATATAAACTTGGTGTTTTTATGGCTTAATCATGTTCATAATTTTAGAGAATATAAAAACAATAAAATAGCTAAATAGAAAAACAAGTAATTAGTTCTTTAGGTAAGAGTAAATTATATATGTTCAGTAAGATAAATTTAGTATATTTTTTTCAGGATATTTCTGTTCATTTTAGTACATATTGTTTAAAACAGATATTATAAGTTCATTCACTTGGTGTTGTTTTATTTGTATCTTCCCACTGATATTTAGGACTGCAATTGGTCAATCTCTTATTGGCATATGTGCATCCTGTGAGGATTGCCTCGATATAGCCTTAAGTCACAAGCCTTTTAAGCAAAGATGGATAGTGGCTAGCAGTGGAACCCAGGAAGCACGTTTCGTCCTATTTGGGACTTGTAAACATGAGATTGATCAATTACAGTCCTAAATAGCAATGGGAAGATACAAGTAAAACAACACCAAGTGACTTTAAACTTCACCCGATTGCACAAGCAGGTGACCATCAGGACTTAGTAGCTAAGTGGATAACGCGATGGCTTTTGAAGCGAACGGTACTGGGTTCGAGTACCTGAGTAAACATCAACTCTGGGATTCAGGCACATAAGTTCATGGTAATGTCAAAAGTACCTAAATAAATCAATGAATTTATGGAACTTTTGGCAAAATGTATGATAATAATATTGATTTAATAATGACCACTTGATATTAAATGAAAAACTGTTATGAATTAGAGGTACCGTTAACACATAATAATTAATACAATAAAACACTAAATAATACCACCTTAATTTAATTTACTTATCAATATCATTTTAACTGAATAAATTTTCTAAATTTTAGTACACGCGTACTGTACATGTTTGGTTGAACTTACTTTTTTCCAAGTAATACAATATAGTTTATTTATTGTGAACCTGTACGAATATCTTCATTATAACCAAGATGCTATTTTATTCATCTCGTACAATCTAACGTTTATATATATATATATATATATATATATATATATATATATATATATATATATATATATTGTAGAGAGTAACGTGTTTCCGATTTTAAAACATCCAATACTGAATGATCACCTCAAGGCATTTTTCATTATAAATAGATACATATTTGTATGTCAGTGTTACACAGGTTCAGATGAATGATTAAGAAACGCTTTAGGAATGCTCTAGGAAAGAAGAAACGATAAAGAATAACGGAGTATGATGAGATGAGGCGAAACAAGGTACGAAAGAAATACAAATGAATAGGTTAGCTAGTAAGAATTTAAAAGTAACATATTAAAAAAATATAAAAGTTCGCAGTGACAGTGGCAGAACAATGTTAACCTACATTTTACCTTTAGGCTAATTTTGTGAGTTAGAGTTAACTAGCCTGAGGTAATTTAAATAAGTAAAGGAAAATAGTTGAATAGAGGCTGAAGTTTTTAAGTTATAAAGAAACTTCAAATGGGTAAACAAACAATAAATGTTTCTATAGAAGTAAAGTAATGGATAAAATTACTTTAGCGCAAATAAATGTTAATTTATATGGGAAATAGAGTATCGAAGTTCTTAAACTAGCTTATTTGTGTTTGAACTTGTAAGATACACAAATTCAGAGAAAATGACTTCTAAACTTAAGAACGATGCTTAACTTACGTGTCAACTTGGTGTTCTGAAGTTTTTATAGGATAATAACAGAATCATAATGACGGTTTCGCTTTAAAAGCAGAGTATTTGTAAGATGAAATTATAAAATATATGGAATATCAAACGAAAATAAAAGAATTTAGTTAATAAAATCTAGTGAATTTCAAAAATTTAGTGATTACCTTATAAGTATTGATGGCAAGGTTTGACTTGCCAATTCCAGGTTCATTACGACGCGAAGTGCCAGAAATTCAATTTTTTAAAATTCAGATAACAGAAATACATCAATATTTTATTGATATTGATGGCTTCTGTGGATTGCTAAGTATCGTAAAAGTGCACAACTTAGGATATATAATTTTTTGAAGGTATTGAGGATACTAAAATGCTTAGATTTATATATTTATATGAGGGATTTTCATATCACATACATTTCGGTTCAGTAAATAAAAGATGTCATAATCTAGGAAAACAATGTGAATAACTTCCTCACAAGGACATGATTCAGTAAACATTTTTGTCTACTGATAAATGTGAATTTTTATCTACATGGAGTTGGTTTTCTTTACAGAAATACACTTTACGATCTAATGATGTTACATTTAAAAGTTTAATATTTCAAACTGTAAAAATATGATGTAAGTTATCATCCTTTTGTAAAAAATCACATGACTAGGCTTTATTTATCGCCGAAATATTACTAAGTTTAGTGACCTACTTTTATCATGAGAATGAGATTGGTATAATGGAAACAGTCATTATTATAACCAATTGTATCAGTGATTGTTTTACTATACTTGCTTGTTTAACTGTACTAAAAATATACATTTTTCCGTCGACTGTGACCCAAGCACGCTCTCAGTCACGCTCAGTAATTCCACTTGTAATCTTTGGCACGATCTCGGTATTCTTTCGATACCACTAGATTGCCAACAAATATATCTTATTATGACCATCAACTGCCTTCTGGTTTTTGGCCTACGGTGGGATCTAACTCAATAACTGGCATGTAGTCTCAGTGTAGTGGTGATCATAGTTAACCGCGACTCGACGCCACCCTACAAGACTACAAAGTGTAACTTCATCTGTCTATACGGATGCTTTCATTCAAATAAAATATGGCTTGCAGTTGTTGAAGACCTACTAGCTTAGTCGAATTTCTAAAATGCATTGGTCTGAAAATTTCAAAGTAATATTCTAATACTCTTATACTACTAATTCACAATTTCCCAGACAGTGTTGAATGAGGGAGTAAAAAGTGAAGATTAGGAAATTGTGTGTGACAGAGGAAGAATGAAGTAGTGATCCAAAAGATATCCGTCATTGTTTAAGATGACTAGCCATTTGAAGGTCAGACACTTCTGAATTGTTCAAGACAAACCAAAAGTTAGGTAACTATTCTTCATCCTCTAATATAGGCAGAAACACCGTTTTCTGTCAAAATGACTATACAATAACATTCAGTAGTATCATTAATGGTAACTCGGGTATAAGTGGACATGCGACAGTTTAAAATGGGTAGTTAAGAGTTCGTAACGTCAAAACGTTATAGCTTAATTATTTACTTACGTCGTTTTTTACGTGGGTACTATGTTCCCTATCATCCTATATTGAGTATTGAAACTTTGGTGTGCTGACGATAAGAAACTAGTTCTCAAACCACTCCGTTCCATGATCTGAATAAAGGTCTTCTTAAACAACCAGTCTGGCTGTTTCTACATATAAAACGAATGGTAACTACATGTATAGAAGACTTAGTCAGCAGAAGTGGGAGCCATAAAAGTCTCAACAAACGCTCATTTAACTACTGTTACTTATCAATAATGTGAAGAGTTAGAAAAGGTATTACTAATATGAAAGGTTGGCCTATTTGATTTATATAGGAATAATGTGACAACATAGGCCAATTTGAAGTTACACCAATTGATTAATGCCCGATATAGGATAACTTGACCTAATCAGGCGAGTTTGCTTCCTCGTTGACTGTACTAATAATCTAAAAACCTCCTTAAACAACAATGTGTAGTAGCAAAGATTCATATGAGAAGTACGAGGTGGAACCACTACTGCTTGTGCCTATGGGTTGGCGTCGCTTCATTCGTGTCAGCGACCCCTGACCTTGGAGAGGTTCTACTGACTACCAGTCTCTCATATAAGAACCATACAAAGCAAAGTTGGTTCAGTCAGAAGAATGGGGCTTGACGATTCTTCAATGAAATAACGATCAACATGATTGGAAATTGTGCAATAAGGCAGTTAAACTGCCGCACACCAAACATGAACGAGACCTGAAATGGTACTCAGGCCGAAAGAAGAATGCGCAAAGCGATAAATGAGCTAATACAAAAAATTGATTTACCTGACATCGTCCAATTTTTGAGCGGAAAACTTGTCTTAAGCGCTACTTTGATTTCATGGATCAAGTATCGTCTAAAGTGATACACGATGTTAGTGGTCAGAAGAAACTTATTAGTTTCAATCCAATCCAGGGCCGAATCACAACTCAAACAGTCCGGGATGAAGAAGAATATATGGAGGTATCACTAGATCTTTCTGAGTTTATTCATTTTGTTGATTTGATGAGTTCATTTTCTTAACTCAATTCGACACAATTATGAAGATTATTTATAATTACCCGTTTTGAGTTTTACGATTATTTTTTATACCATGTATGTTTGGGGTGTCTGTTAGAAATGTCAAAGTAACTTGAAGCTTCAGAATACTTGCTATTCGTTGCTCTTACGTTGTCTTCAAGGTCATTTTCTTAGTGCTTGATCTTGAATATTATAATTGCTACTCGATTATAATTTTTTATTTCTATTAACCTCTTTACTTTCACCCCGTCATGCTATTGGAGCAACTGTACACATATGCCGTGCTCTTCTTTGACAGTTACTGACCGTTTGTATAAACGTAAGGTGGCTGGTACTGTACAAACTATGTGACCAAGTACATGGTGTTATGCTACTTAAGACCGGGTGTTCAATTGTGTTTGGGTTTTGCTGAATTTGCCATGTTCATGTGATTGGCCATAGATAATTAGGGAAGGATTTTTTCTTTCCCGGCTAATACATAATATGTTTCATTCAATTCATTGTTGTTTACGACTATCAGTTTCATTGCATGTGCTCAAGATTACTTGTATTCTTTGAATTTACAAAACCTCATATTTTGAGATGTCTGTAATGAAATGACGTTTTGTAGTTAACAGGAAATGTTTCAAAAAAAGAGGTCGGTGCATGTTTTGTAACGTTACTTTGCAATAAGTGTTTATCAACCTTTTCATTTTATATTTTAGCATCTGGGAAAAATAATACAACGGGATTTTTTCCCCAGCCTTACCGCGAACGAAGAAAAGGGAGCTGATGATGAATCCAGTGAGCTTAAAGATAGAGGTGCCCTTCGCACCGATTCTCATAACCCTGAAAAGAGTAGACATTGAATTGGAAAGTAACTTGGAGACTTTAGGTGATCCAACTGCTATGTCTTTGGATAAATACATGGCTAATAACACCACGGAAGATGATGCATCCTTCGCCGAACTAGTTGAAGAAAACGAAAAAAAGCAGAGAATTAAACTGGCTCCTTTTTTCCCCTCTCTCCAGTGTTCTGCACCTGTACGTTCAACCTTGATTTCTCGTTATTATTTGTCTAGGCACCTTTGGACGATCCAAAAACCTTGGCTCTCCCTGGTGTTTCAAATGCTGTTGTTGGACCTAGGATCACAATTACTGGGAACAATGCTGTTCATTTTAATCCTGATGGTGTATCTCAAACCAGGGAGGAATTGCTGGAATTTTTGTCAAAGGAACGCAAAATCGTACCAACTAATACTCGCTTCAAGAGACCTTTTCCAGTAAATCTGGAAAAAAAACGTACAATGAAACATTTACTTGCAGCAAAGCTGGTAAGTTAGGAATTGGCAGTTCATTTGTACTGTGCTAGCTGCTATTTGTGGTTTGTTACTTTACTCTATCGTGATTTGATCCCACTGTCATTGTAAGACATAAGATTAAAGCGAGCATTGAAAAGTCAGTTAATCTAAAGGAGCATTTTGCGATTTTCTGAGTCTTAATTTATTTTTTATGGGGACTATATAATACTTTCGTACATTGTGCTTATAATTCGTGACTCTGACTTTAATACCATGAACAGAACGAATTCTATCCTCGTCTCTTCCTTGCTTCACCAACTAGGATAAAGCCACCAGTTTTATAGATGAAGTTTCTTAAGGTTGACCCTGTAGAAAAGTAATCAAGGTTTATTGATTATACATCATTAAGAAGCGATTAGAATAATTAAACTGAGTACTTGTCATTCGACGAAAACCATATTAAAAATGGGTCGAAATCCCATTACTGGTTTTTACACTTAGCAATGTACTGTAACAGAATTCTAAACCAAAATAATTGGTGTTGATTTACCTAGTAATACTCCTATCCGAAATATAAAAGCTGATGTGCTTAATAAATAATCATCTGATTATTTAAATAGTGTAAGTTTTCAAAGATTACTTTAATGTAGAAGTAAAACGTTTGACCACCCTAACCACAATTAAACTGACCAGTAATGAGAAATTACTGCACCCAAAGCTGTCCTTCGTTGAATAGTCATTGCTCTTCATCAATGACCTTATGGGCTTTCTCCGAGACCACCTCTAACCACATTTCCTTTTCAGGCACCTGCAGAAGAACCCTTCCACGGTGTGGGCAACCGGGAAGTGATAACCGCCCTCATATCTCTAACAGCATTCAAGACCACTGTATTCATAATCAACCTCTCCAATTCCTATTATTCCTCCTACATCGACTTTCAACTCCAAACTTCCTCTTTTGGCTTCCTCTTCAAGTGTCACCATAGCCAACGATTCTAGTGCACAAAACTCTGTCCCAAGTCTACTGAAAATCGCATCAAACTACACATTGGAGCCTTCATCGTACGCACCCTATGTCAAATCGGTCACCAGGCCTCCTTCGCTAAAACCTCGGAATTTCGTACCATTGATGTATGCTGTGTCTCCGAAACACGCATACAGGATTCTTATGTGGTTATTCACTTGACCTCACCTCGCCAAAACGGAGAGCTGACGAGATACACGCTCCATGTATCTGGCGACCCGATGGCTAGTTCTTGCGGACTGGCAGGTGTAGGAATAGCACTAAATACGAGGTCAGAACAAGCACTATTAGAGTGGATCCCCGTTAACAATCGTCTATGTGCTGTTCGGCTAAACGACTCCGTAAGGATTCGGAAGGATAGGGACACACGTCGTTACCTTTTTGTCGTTTCTGCATACGCCCCCACTGACTGCAGCTCGGATGAAGTGAAAGATGAATTTTACAGAAAGCTCTCTGAACTTCTTCAGAAAGTTAAACGTTCAGACATAGTACCCGTAGAAGGTGACCTTAATGCCCAGGTAGGTAGTTTAATCCAAACAGAAAGAAATTTAGGTGGATATTTGGGTATTCCGTTACAGTGAACAGATAATCATAATCGTCTGCTGCAACTGTGTTCAGACAATCGTTTATTTTTAGCAAACTAATTTTAAGCATAAGGAGACACCGTCTAACATGGCGACCCCCTACACCAAACCAACGATGGACTCAGACCATATTGCCATCAGTCATCGTTGGAGAGGTTCGATAGAAGATTGCCGCTCATTCTGGAATACCTGCTTGGACACCGACCATGCTCTAATACGAGCACACATCTGCTTGCGCCTCACTGGACGCAAAAAGGCCGCAGTAAATTGACCCATTAGAACTGAATTGAGAAGCGAGAAAATGAAAAGTAGGTTCCAGGAACAACTGAGGTCACACTTAGGTAGCTCTGAAAGCAAGGCTGACTCAGACGTTGCTTGGAAAGCAGCTGTGGAAACAGCAGTGACATCTGTTAGTGATTTAAATCAAAGGATTACAAAAACCAGTGGATTTCTTTTAAGTCTGTTGCACTGATGGATTCTCGCAAACTCGTCCCATCAGGATTTGAACACGATGAAGAGCGTAACCAAATCAGATCCAGTTAAGCAAAAGTCTAGGAGACGACCGTGAGCAGTGGTGGGCGACAAAAGCAAAAGAGATGGAAAAGGCGGCAGCTATAGGGAAAACAAGACAGCCCTATAGACTGCTAAGAGAAACTGGAATTAATAAGTCAAGTGCAAGTGAAACTATCTCGGTAAAAGACGACACTCTTATCTGCTCCTAGTCCAAACGTTTAAGGAGCAGTTCAGCTGGCCTTCAGCTACTCTACAACTACCCACCATTCCCAGACAGTGTGAATGGAACAATAAAGTAGGTCCCCTGACTCTAGCTGAAGTTCAAAACGCTATAGTTAATCTTAAAAGAGGAAGGGCAGCTGGTCCAGATGGATTGGCTCCAGAGGTCTTTAAGGATGGTGGTCCAATTTTAGCAATTAGGTTGACTAATATTTTAGCTAAAATCTGTGAGTTGGACGTAATCTCATCTGACTGGTCACAACCACTTATTGTCCCAATATATAAGAGAGAGTCAAAATCATCCTGTGACAACCATAGAGGGATTAGTTTAACTAATATAGTATCTAAAATACTAGCCTCGATAATTATCGGACGCCTAACTAAGACTCGTGAACTGCAAACACGAGAGAATCAAGCTGGCTTCAGATCTCGTCGTGGCTGCATCGACCACATATTCACCATTCGTCAGGTTCTAGAACATAGGCATACTTATTGGCGTCCGACACTGATGGTCTTTCTCGACTTAAAAGCAGCATTTGACTCGGTAGACCGCGAGATTCTGTGGCAGTGTCTGTCATTGAAAAGCGTACCTCAGAAGTACATAAACCTTGTGAAGGCTCTCCAGTCAGTCAGTAACAACGTAGAACTTCGTACGTACGTACATCAGTTCGAGTTGCCACACCACATTAGCACAGAGATGCAGTGGTCGATTCAAATCCCGTAGTGGTAGAGGTAATAAGAGTATAAGCAGTAATCAGGAAAATTAGTGTTTGGAGATGTTATTTAAAGAGTATAATGGAGTGAAATAAATTTGGGAAGAGGAAAAAAGGAGACAAGGAGGAATAAGGAGACCAAAATTTGGGAGAACACAAAGAGTGTATGCACCTGCGCCATCGCAAACGATTTTGAGCCATGTCATTCAGGGTCTCTAACCATCGGTTGCTATCATCTCGCGGTCCCCAACCAGGTAGTCTACACCTACCGACATGACTCAGTCCACTTGTCAGTGACTTCATGAACTTGTGCCATGTTTTGGTCTGGCCGCCCCTAGCTTTCTTCCAACCTACTCCACTCCTATACCACTGAACATCGCACGTCGAGGCAGTCGGTCGTTGGGCATACGTAACACATGTCCAAGCCATCTCAACTGATGAAGTTTCACTACGTCATCAATGGATTCGCCATCCTTACCTAGTACCCGTTTCCTAACAACTGCATTACTTACTCGATGGTCCCAGGATATACGAGCAATATTTCGAAGACACCTATGATCAAATACTAGTAACCTACGAATATCCTCTACTCCTACTGGCCATGTTTCACTGCCATAAAGTAGGACGGAACGAACTGCTGCACAGTAAACCCGTCCTTTGGTTAATAGACAGATATCTCGCCTACGCCATAAATGATGCAAGTTGGTAAAAGCTAGTCGAGCCTTCTGTATCCGTGCTGAGATTTCGTCACACACCAGACCACAAGGGCTGATCAGACTTCCAAGATAGGTGAAGCGATCGACACGCTCAATTACTTCACTCCCTATCATTAGTTCGGGTGTCAATGCAACCCAATCCTGAAGCAACATTTTGCATTTCGAGGGGGAGAATCCCATGTCGAACATGCTTGGATTGTTGCTTAGAGTGATCAGAAGACTGCATTTTGTCAGCGTCTTCACCAAATAAAACGATGTCATCAGCACATTCTAAGTCAACAAGTGAACCTCCCGGTAGAAGTTCAACCCCTGTAAATTTAGACGAGGAAAGTGTTATCTCTAAAAGTACGCCGACGACAAAGTTGAACAAGAATGGAGAGAGTGGACAGCCCTGACGAGCACCACTTGAGGTAATCAATTCTGATGACAGTTCGCCATAAGCTCTCACTCTACCAGTTGTGTTCGAGTAGAGAGCCTTTACAAGGTTAATGTACTTCTTTGGTACTCTTTTCAGTGACAAACACTGCCATAGAACCTTACGATCGACAGAGTCGAATGCTGCTTTATGGTCGAGAAATACTACGATTGTGGGGCGTCTGAACGTGTGTCTGTGTTCTAGAAGCTGACGTAGTGTGAATATGTGGTCTATACAACCACGTCCAGGTCGAAAACCAACCTGATTTACTCTAGTCTGTTTTTCACGAGCTTTAGTTAGGCGTCGAAGTATTATTGAGGCTAATATTTTAGACACTATATTAGGCAAACTGATTCCTCTGTGATTGTCACAAGAGGACTTTTGTCCTTTCTTATAGACTGGCACAATCAGTGATTGAGACCAGTCAGATGGGATTACGTCCAGTTCCCAAATCCTACCTAAGACCTCAGTTAATCTCGCTGCTAATGCTGGACCGCCCTCCCTAAAAATCTCATGTGTAAACCTGTCAGGGCCTGTTGCTCTCCCTCGCTTCAGATTTCCTATGGCTTTTTCAACTTCGTAAAGAGACGGAGGACCTAGATTAACCTGCCATTCAGGTTGACTGGAGATCGTGGGAAACCAAAGTGTGGCTGAAGGCCAGTTGAGCTGATCCCTAAAGTGTTCTGCCCATCGATCCAATCTCCGGGATTGAGAATGTATAATATGTCCATCTTTCTCTGAGATTGTTTCGCTAACAGTCGGTTTCTTAATACCGGTTTCCTTAACAAGTCTGAACAATTGTCTGCTATTACCTATTGTCGCTGCCTTTTCCATCTCTCTTGCTTTCGCTACCCACCACTGTTCACCATCATTGCGTAGACTTCTTGTCAGCTTGCGCTTAAGCTGGCTCCGCTCGTCATTATGTTCAGAGCCAGGTGGAATGAGTTTCCGAGCATCTATCAGTGCGATAGATGCTGCTGAGGTCCAGTGTTGCTCCCTAACCTTACGGGTTACCGTACTAGCAGATATCACTGCTGTTTCCACAGCTTTTCGGATATCATTCCATGCTGCCTCTGGGTGGGCATCATATACATGGCTGCCTAACTGTTTTCCTAGTTGTTCCTGAAATATACTCTTAGCTTGACTATCATTAAGTAGGGCCCTAAGAGGTTTACTTGCAGCGTCTTTCCTACGTTCAGTAAGACGCAGACAGATACGCGGTCGTACTAGAGCGTGATCTGATTCTAAGCATGTGCTCCAGAATGAGCGACAGTCTTTTATCGAACCCCTCCATCGGTGGCTGTTTTTCCTTATGCTTAAAGTTAGTATTTGCAAGAAAGAGGCGGTTATCTGAGCATAGCTGCAACAGACGGTCGCCATTATCTGTTCTTTGAGCCACGATGTTATAAGATCCACCCAGGTGTCTATCCCTATCGCTTAGTTTACCTACTTGAGCATTAAAGTCACCGGCCACTATTACTACATCCGAGCGCCTAGCTTTTCGGAGAAGGTCGGGTAGCTTTCTGTAAAACTCATCTTTTACATCATCTGCGCTGCAGTCAGTGGGAGAATAGGCAGAGACGACGAAGAGGCAACGACGAATGTCCCTATCTTTTCGGATCCTTACTGTTCCATTCAGTCGGACAGCGCACAAACGACTGTCTACTGAGATCCACTCTAAGAGAGCTAGTTCTGCCCTAGGACTCAATGCTATACCTACGCCGGCGAGGCCACGGGAAGAAAGATTCCATCAAGTATCACCGTTCACAAAATATGGTTTTTGCCTTTAAAGTATCCAACTGTTTTATTGGAGCTTTATTTGGACAGTTATAGCATCGTTATTCTAGAGAAGTAGGTGTAATAAAAGTCTAGGGAAGCTGTATATGGAGATAATTTCTCATTATTATGCAAGCTCCCTTAAAAAATTTCAATAGTTTCTTCATAGCCGCCAACATTCTCTATAAGCGATAATCTAATATACTTTTAAAACAATTTATAGCCATTGGTTTATTTATTTTATTACTCGAAAGTTATGACAATTTGAATCTCTAAATAAACCATTTAAATCCTGAATTGTTCGTCATTATAGTTGTCTTTTTAGTTCCTGGTAATAACTTTGATTCATACAGTAATAATCCAAATCAATACTCATTGGGTCTTTTATAGAATTGAATAGAACGATATCAAAGGCATCATATATCACTCAAAAGAAATATCTAGGTTGAATGGGATCTAAAAATACGCACTTCTAGTAAGAATCCCGTATGATTAATTACTTGAAAGTGGTGATAACCATAGTGGGATTAGTTTGAATAGCATAGCATCTAAAATACTGGCGTCAATAATTATCGGGCGCCTAACAAAGACTCGTGAACTACAAACACGAAAAAGTCAGGCTGGCTTCAGACCCAGTCGTGGCTGCATCGATCACATATTCACCATTCGGCAGATTTTAGAACACAGGTATGCTTATCGGCGTCCGACAATGATGGTTTTTCTTGACTTGAAAGTAGTATTTGACTCTGTAAACTGAGAGGTTCTGTGGCAGTGTCTGTCATTGGAAGGCGTACCTCAGAAGTACATAAACCTTGTGAAGGCTCTTTCCTCAAACACTACTAGTCGAGTGAGAGCTTATGGCGAACTGTCATCTGCTTTTGCAACCTCAAGTGGTGTCCGTCAAGTCTGTCCACTTTCAATTTTTGTTTAACTTCATAATAGACCTGCTGATGGAAATAACGTTCTTGTCGATTGAATTCTCGGGCGTTGATCCCCCTCCAGGGGGTTCACTTATCGACTTTGAATACGCAGACGACATATTCCTGTTTGGTGAAGACTCTGATAAAATCCAGAGTCTTTTGGTAGTACTGAGCAACAATGTCAGGCTGTTTGGAATGCGCTTCTCCCTCTCTAAATGCAAGTTGTTGCCTCAGGACTGGTCTGCGTCGACAACTTCACTTACCTTAGAAGTCTGATAAGCCCTAATGTTTTGGTGTCTGACGAAGTGTCAGCAAGGATTCGAAAAGCTCGTTTGGCTTTTGCCAACTTACGTCACCTAAGGCGAATGCGAGATGTCCATCTATCAATAAAAGGACGAGTATACTGCACGGCAGTTCGCTCTGTTCTACTTTACGGCTGCAAAACGTGGTGATTAAGAGTTGAGGATATTCGTAAGCTACTAGTATTTGATCACAGATGTCTTATAAATATTGCTGGGGTCTGCTGGGATCACCGGGTAAGTAATAGTGAGGTTAGACGCAGGTTATTAGGGAATGATGGTAAATCAGTTGATGAGGTTGTGAATCTTCATGGACTGAGATGGTTGGGCCATGTGTTACGTATGTCCGAACACCGATTACCACTTCGCACAATGCTAACCGGTGTTGGAGATGGTTGGAAGAAAGTTGGGGGTGGACAAACCGAAACATGGCATCAGTGCTTGAAGTTATTAACTTCTGGTCTGAGCCATGTTGGTAGATGCAGACTACTTGGTTGGGGTCCGCGTGACCATTGTAACCAATGTTTGTAGACTGTGGGTGACATGGCTCAGAATCGATCACAATGGCGTAGGTGTATACACTCACTGTCTTCCTTTTAACTATGAGATTAAAATCGCTTCATATTTTTCTTTCTACGAAATAATTCTTCATGTACTATGTTCTTTTATGCAATCTTTCTTTCATATATTATCACCACTCCTTCTATGAATCCGGTGTTCATCTTGTTGTGTTAATGAGGTATGGCAACTTGGACCGATGCTCATATGTGCCGCCTGGTCCTATGTTGTAGCTGATTGACTAACAGTCTGGACATTTTCACAGTCTTCATGTAACGTACTACAATCTGGATGAAAGCATTAGTAGGCAGATTTTACTTAGTTCGCATTTTTAGTCTAAAGATTAACATCCTATCTGAACTTTACTGACATAATTTTACTTGAAAATGCTGGTCAAAAATATCGTTTTTTGTACCTTGTAGAACAAATTCAGAGTTAATCAATGAAAGGACATTACCGTTTGTCTCTATTGATGTGAAAAAGAATAAACCGTTTATTGAGTTCTGATTCAGAATCTAGTTTGATTATATGAAATATTCACATGAAGTTTTTACTTATTTGGTTTTATTTTAAACAGGGTCGTGTCGGTCTTAATGGTTTAGAAATGAACTCACCATACGGAACTCCTCAGGCTTCTGGGTATAAATTTCTTGATTCTTCCCCTTCACCAATGACAATGTTTCCTCACACACCTTTAATGACTTGGGGTGAATTGGATTCGACACCGTTCCGACTAGATGACAGCGAAACGACACCATCAGTTGTATCTGGTGGTCCAGCCTTTCGTATCCCATCTCCTTCTCAACGTGAACAGCTTGCCCACCAATTAGCAGATAAAGCAAGTCGTCAACGTGTGCGTGATCGTTTGGAAGCAGTTAAAAGAATGCAGTCAGCAGCATCAAGGTAAGTGTATTTACAATTGAAAATTACTAATGTTTTACTACCGTACATTTTAGCAATAAGTTCTCCCACAAATAAATTTAACTCAGACACATACAAGTAAGAAGATTAGATGTGAAAAGGTGAACATGATTTTCATTGTTGGTATATGTACGCCTTACTGATACTATAAGATATGTACATAAGGCGAAAATACGTACCTAAAAGAATGTTGTCTCTGGTAGTTTTTATGACGCGTTTCAGGTTCCAATTTATCTTATTCCTCCTTTAAGTTTTACTGCAACATAAGCTAGTTGTAGGTTGAATATGCGATATGACGTTACCTATCAAACAACAAATGTACTGTGAAGAAGTCCCCTTTGTGTTACTTTATCATTAAGTCAAGACCATTATTTATAAAGGGGAGGTGTAGATAACAGTCATTTGGTAGTAAGTTCTTCCAAGGATTATTTATGTCTGCTGAAACCGCTGATTACTTGTTGTTAATGTAAGGTCCAATCTCGATTGAGAGACTTAAGTTTGTAAATTTCTTCTAAAATTATAAAAATTGGTACAAGAAGGCACCGAATACATATGTCTCACACAAGTCACTTGATTTATGTGAGGGCAGTGAAGTAACGTCAAAAGATACAGTCCCATGGTAGGTGGTGACCAATAATAGATTTATACGCCGTTTGTTCACTCAGGATCCTGGAGCCCATGTTCACCATTGGTTTGGAATCAGGGCCACGTGCATACAACCGCCGTCAAGGAAGTCCTATTCACAACCTTCTTGAGTCGGGGCTGTTGTTTACGAAACTGAGGGGACGAAAAGCTAACGTCTGGCGCTTTAACCGGGTTAATGGGCACGGCGTATCCACCAAGGGGAATCCCTGATTGGGAATCCCTGATTCCAAACCAATGGTTTAGATGGGCTCTAGGATCCTGAGTGAACAAATGGCACGTGAATCTGTTGTTGGTCACCGGCTACAATGGGACTGCATCTTCTGACGTTGCTCCACTGCCTTGTGGATCAGACCTTTAGGTCAAAGACTCAGGGAGTGGTTTCCTAAAGAAACTACCTGCTTCGATCTTGGCACCCAGCCAGTATTCAAGCCCTCACATAAATGGAATGATGAAGTGTGACGCATATGTATTCGGTGCCTTCTTGTACCAATGTTTATATGTTTAAATAAATAAATCTAGACCGAGATGCAGTCATGCAGTCGTGGTAACGATTTTCAAACAAACTATTTGTGCTACTATCATGTGTCATCCCACATAGTTGGAGTATTTCAACACATTCATTAAATTTGTTTTTTGCATTCGATGCACGAATTTTAGTTTTGCTCTATTTTCTCATCTAAACACATCAGTAATTCATAAATCTTTATTTGTATTATGGCTAAATCAGTGTAACCTTATTCATATTTATCAGTTCAATGTATTATTGTCCAATTGCAGTCTACTTAAATCTTTTGATATTAGGAAATCATTGATATGCCAAACTTGGTTAGTCAGATTAAATCAATGTTGATGAAAACTTCCCTCGGTCAGAAACCCGTATCAGTTGATTGAATAACATTGTATTCATTGAAATGCTGTTTCTAATTCTCTTGGGATGTTGAGTGTTTTACATTAGTTTCAAAATTCTAATATTCAGACTTTTTAAATGATTTCAAATTTCATTTATTTTGTAGTCCATCACGGTCGCTACTCTCTCCTGCTGCTCTTCGTTTACTCGCTTCTAGCTCATCGATTATAAATAACGAACCAAACAGCCGACCTTCAACTGGCACTGCTCGTATTGGTGGGCAGACATGTTCTCCTCTTCCTAAAGTCAATACTCCTCGGCGTGTTCCATCTGATTTGGGTGTTGTTAGACGTCCGAATTCAGCACGTTCAACTCCTAATTGCGAATCGGTGAAACCGAACTCTACTCATAAGAAAATTCCTCTAGAACGTGGTGATATCCAGGTTGATAAACCGGAATCTTCTTCATCAATTACAGATAACTTACTGAATTTAAAATGTCAAAATTTGTGATTATTTGTATTTATCAAATCAGGAAAATTTCATGTAGATATGCCTCCATTACTATACTCAGACCCATACTATTTTGTACAGTAAATGAGTACAGTTTTTCTTTCTGTGATTTGCTTCTCAATTAAATTTCTTGTTAATTGAGTCATTTTTGTCAAGTTTTACACTGTTCAATACTAATTCATACAGACATTAAGTCATGTATTGAACGTGAAGTTTATTTTTTGTATTCCTTAAATGATGACTAAAGCACGAGTAGTATCAATATCTAAGTAGTTTATTATACATCATTTGTTGTCAAAGCAAACTTTATATCAAAATTATCATTACAATATCTTGCTTTTCGAGAAAAAGAAATCAGTTTGTTCGTAAATTCGGTTGATAAACCGTCTTGAACTGGCTCGGTTTAATCCGGATTTCGAGAATCTTATCAGCTTACATTTAGTTTTGTACCAGAATATCATAAACTGCTGGCTTACACTTTTTGTACGTATGTAGCTTTGTTTCGAGCTCAATAGTTAAGGGGGTGAGGTCCTGTGCACATTTTGGAAACAATATTTTAAATACTTATTTCGTAATAATACCCTGGTACGGTTGAGAGTGAAGAGAATAAACTCTCCTTCTCTCTCTCTCTCTCTCCCCCATGTGCATACAACCGCCGTCAAGAAAGTCCTATTCACAACCTTCTTGAGTCGGGGCTGTTGTTTACGAAACTGAGGGGACGAAAGGCTAACGTCTGGCGCTTTAACCGGGTTAATGGGCACGGCGTATCCACCAAGGGGAATCCCTGATTCCAAACCAATGGTTTAGATGGGCTCTAGGATCCTGAGTGAACAAATGGCACGTGAATCTGTTGTTGGTCACCGGCTACAATGGGACTGCATCTTCTGACGTTGCTCCACTGCCTTGTGGATCAGACCTTTAGGTCAAAGACTCAGGGAGTGGTTTCCTAAAGAAACTACCTGCTTCGATCTTGGCACCCAGCCAGTATTCAAGCCCTCACATAAATGGAATGATGAAGTGTGACGCATATGTATTCTGTGCCTCAATCATTCACAAACTGTTTAATTTCTAACAAGAATGTCTATTGATGCAATTTGTCACACTTCACAAAAGTATGCACAATACGTCCTGACTAGCAATGTTTATGAGGATTCATAGCATCATCAATCATAATTTATACCTAAAAACACATACGTAGCTTCAATATTGGATACTTTGTCGTTCCATCATAAGCGGTCAGTGCTTCGCTAAACGTCCCACTTATAAGCACTGGGTTTTTTCAGGCTCTTTACAACTCATTGAAGCCCATCGGTCTACTCCGGGTGACCGTGAGTTTGACCTTAAACGAAGGATGTTACAAAAGGAAATTGGGCAAAGCTTGCGTAAAGACCGAGAGACCTGGTGGTCAGAGTGTGGTAATGAGCTGGAAGCAGCAGCTACATCTGGTAATTACCGGAAGCTCTTCCAACTCATCCGAGCCACTGGCAGCAAGACGGCTGGTGTGAGCGAAACAATCTACGAGGATGATGGGATGCCAGTCACTAGCATCCATCGACGTCTCAGACGATGGGCAGAATTCTTCGAAGGGCAGTCCAACTGGCCTGCTGCTCCGGCAACATCGGTCAGACTGTCCTGCCCTTCATGGCCTGTGACGACTGATCCACCAAGTGAGGTGGATATCCGCAAAGAACCCCACTCTTGAAGCGCTACAAGTCATCAGGCCCAGATGACTTACCTCCGGCCCTTTTTAGAGATGGTGATGAATTTCTGGTTAAGGAACTGACAACGTTGTTTACAAAGGTCTGGGAGCTAGAGAGTGTACCAACGTCATGGAATGACTCGATAGTTGTCTCTATCTTTAGAAAGGGTTCACGTCGTTCCTGTAATAACTATCGGTGGATAAGTCTACTTCCGATTGCATCCAATCTATTGGCTTCCGTCATACTTCATAGGTTGTTCAAAACCCGAGAAAGATCGACTTGCGAGGAGCAGGCTGGTTTTCATTCTGATCGAGGATGTATTGATCATATCTTCACCCTCCGCCAAATGCTAGAACACCGTCATTCTTATCACAGGCCATCAATCGTAGTGTTTCTTGACATCAGGGCTGCCTTCGTTTCGTTGGACAGGACTGTTCTCTGGGATTGTCTATTGAAGAAGGGTGTGCCTGAGAAGTTTATTAACATCCTAAAGGCCCTATATACAAACACTTCAGGTTAAGTGAGGGCGGACTACCACCTTTCTCCATTGTTCCTTTCGAGCAGTGGGGTTAGGCAAGGTTGCTCAATTTCACCATTCCTCTTCAACTTTGCTATCGACGACATTCTGGAAACAGCTCTGATGGATGTAAGTAATGGTGGTGTGGATCTGTTGCCTGGAGAAAGACTTCTCGACCTTGAGTATGCGGGTGATATTGTCTTACTGTGCGATAATGCCCAAGCCATGCAATCCGCACTTAATCAGTTGGCGAACTAGTGTCCGTACTTACTTACGCCTGTTACTCCCCGTGAAGGAACATAGGTCGCTCACCAGCATTCTCCATCCAACCCTGTCCTGGGCAATCCTTTCCAGCTCCTCCCACTTGTTATTCATCCTTTCCATATCTGCCTTTATTTCCCGACGTAATGTGTTCTTTAGCCTTCCTCTTCTCCGCCTTCCTTTAGGATTCCAAGTTAGGTTTTCTCTCGTGATGCAGTTTGACGATTTGCGTAGTGTATGTCCTATCCATTTCCATCGTCTTTTCCTAATTTCCTTTTCAGCTGGATACTGGTTTGTTCTCTCCCACAAAAGGCTGTTGCTGACGGTACCCTGCCAATGGATGTTGAGTATCTTGCGTAGACAGCACCTTCTTGATGATGGTTGTTGTAGTTCCATACAGTAGAACTGCCTTGACGTTCGTATTGAAGATTCTCACTTTGATATTGGTTGAAAGTTGTTTTGAGTTCCATATGTTCTTCAACTGTAGGAATGCTGTCCTTGCTTTGCCAATCCTCGCCTTTACGTCTGCATCTGAACCTCCTTGTTCATCGATGATGCTTCCCAGGTGTGTGAGGGATTCCACATCTTCCAGAGTTTCGCCATCAAGAGTGGTTGGATTGCTGTTTTCCGTGTTGAATTTGAGGACCTTGGTTTTCCCCTGAAGCTATATCAGCTCCTCTCCTGGTTCTCACATCTCCCATTGTCCTTCGGAATTTTTTTATTGATGCAGATATCTATCTGGTTCTCTGTAGTGTGGTCCGGTGAGATACATGTAGCTTTGTGTATACGTTTTTGTGGAAATATTGTGCCTCCTATGACCAATTTGTTGAATGCACACAGATTTGCAAACCTTTCTCTCTCCCAGTCCATGTCGTCCCATGATATCTTCATATCCGGTGTTGTCCGTTCCGACTTTGGCATTTAGATCTCTCATCAGAATGGTGAGGTCCTTTCTTGGGCACTTCTCTATGATTGACTGCAGTCGCTCGTAGAATTGATCTTTAATGTCGTCGTTGCTATCATTGGTGAGTGGGAGCATTAGAGCAACTCCTTGAGTGTGCGGAGCATTTTCCTCTTCGTGACCGGAGTATAGTAGCATCTCTCCCGTATTTAGCCTTTGTTGTCCAGCTTGGGTCCAATGGGTTTCGCTGATTCCCAGTACTGCCAAGTTGTATCTCCTCATTTCCGTTGCTATTTGACTGGTCTTCCCGGTCTCCCACATTTTTCGGACGTTCCATGTATCTATAAAAAATTTTACCCTGGTTGTTAGAAGGTGCATCGGCCTCGTGGCTTCCGAAGGAACTCGGCTTTCACTATGAAGCGTCATAATTCTTCTAAATGATGACCTAACTTTCAGGGCAGAGTTGAAATGGTTTTAATGATTTTTTCTGGTAAGCGTTTTTTAGCGAGTTAGTTTTCTACGGGATGGGGACGCTAACCCCATGCCCAGCCCTCCTCCTTTACCCGGGCTTGGGACAGGCAGTAACTCTAGAAGAGCTACAGGCAGAGTTGAATTAGTGTCCGTAGGTAAGGTATGTGCTTCGCACCTTCAAAGTACTTCTACAAGACTGGCAGAATTCTAATCCTGTACTCACCCTGGATGGTGAGCAGATAGAAGAAGTCGAGAATTTCGTGTATCTAGGTAGCTGCATAAGTGCTGGTGGTGGCGTGATTGGTGAGATCAATGCACGTGTAATGGAATTCAGAGCGGCTTATGCCAATCTGGACCATCTTTGACGCCTTCGTGATGTCAGTCTGGTTGTAAAAGTTCGGATCTACAACGCGTCGGTGAGAGCAGTTTTGCTCTATGCTTGTGAAACCTGGCCTCTCCGAGTTCAGGATGTTAGATGACTCTCTGTGTTTGATCATCGGTGTCTCTGAAGGATTGCTGACATCCAGTGGTAACACCATGTTAGTAATGCAGAGGTTCGGCATCGTGTGTTCGGGCACAGAGACGATAATGCAATTGGTGTCACTATCCTGAAACATCGACTTCGGTGGCTTGGACATGTCCTACGAATGTCGTCTCAGAGAATTCCACATCTTGCATTATTTGCCGACTCTGAGACTGGTTGGAAAAACCGGAGAGGTGGTCTGTGTATGACATGGTTTTGTGGTATGAAAGAAAGCTGCAAAGGGCTTGCTTTTGTTGATCGTTCACGACTCCTTGGCTGAGGTCCGAGAGATAATCTAACACAGTGGCTAGAGACATCAGATATGGCTCGGAATAGAAGCCAGTAGCGATCCTGCTGTAACCTTCTTTTACTTTCTTCCTAAACAGTGGTTGTATCTTCCTTAACTGAAAGACTTCTTATGATTGTACCTTTCCGTTTCCCTGATTATTATTATTATTATTACTTCGGTTTGGGCACCCGGGCAGTATCACAGCCCTCACACATATCGAATGAAATTTGTGTGGCGCATATGTATTTGGTGCCTCCTTGTACCAATATCTTTGTGTTAAAATAAATAAATAAATACCTTACACTAATCTGTGGTCGTTATTGTCGTTTTTTTCTTTT